CAAACTCAGATGAACGTGCAAGCTATATAGCTATATAGAAGTCAATTCCTTCGCCGACTTCAATGGAGAAAAAAAAAACATTTTACTGTCTGACCTCCAGAGCACCAAAGTCATTTTCCGGTCACCCAATCAGTAAGCTTTATATATTAGCGTCTAAACTCCTAAACCCTCTCAGATCGTAATGGGTTTACAACGAAACCGTCGTGCCATAAAATATAGATGGCCCTTCTTCGCCCTCAAGAAGGGCCTACTTCAGGGTGTACTTCAGTTTCATTTTTTCAAGATTCAAGATGGATTTATTGGTTCTTCGCAGTTAAAAACAACTGAATTGTAGACCAATTTACAAAGCATTGGTATATTAAAAACTACAGGTTTGCAATCAATATAGACGTACGATTACCAAACCAATAAAAATACATGTTCCATACATTATAAATTTCCCGGACAACATTTCATACAAAAACAGTGTGCTACATATTAGAAAAACAACAGTCAGGGGTTCAGTACATGGTTATTGAGGAGCTGGACCATAAACGGTATGGGCGAGTTCTTGTATCTATTCGTTCTTGCTCTCGGACAGTCTAGCATCTCGCTGTTTCTAGTACTACGGCCAGTTATTTGTGATCTCTGTGGAGGTAGCCAGTCTCTGTATTCTGACCTCACAAGTGTCCTAGCGAACTTGTTTCCGAAGACAGCATCCAGTCTCATCAATTATGCGGGTTCTTGGAAGTAGGCACTTTAATCAAGCTAAGAGGAGAGACGCGGATGGTGTACGTTCCGCTGCATACTGATGTAAAAAGATAATAATACGGAGCACTTAAAAATGAGGGTGGAACACTCTGTGATCTTACCAAAGCGGCAACTGATGTTTAAAAACACTTCAAAACTATCTTCGTCGCCATTCCTACTTCATTGAGACGTAAGAGCTTTCACGAGGTAACCAAAAAGCGCAGTGTTTCCCCCAATAGACTTGATAGGCGTGAAATAGAGTTTTCCTAGTAGCCTGCTTTAAAACGGAAAGCGGCACTCCATACGTCGAAGTCATTCAAATCAGACTGTATCCTAATGGAAATGCTACTTACCATGGATGAGGCGGCACTCTGTAGGTTAGCTGCTGACGGGTGCACTAAATTTGTTGGCGCTGGATATAATCAAATCTATTTTTCGTCACCTCTATATAACTGTAGATGACAGGTGAATGTAACCTTGCATAGACGAATAGATGAATGTTATTATTAATACGTGGGTGCTCGTTTAGCTGTTTGAACCTCGCTCAATCAAACGTTGCAGGCTATAAAATGCCGTTCGCTGCAATCCCAGATTGAGCCAGGATTTGACTTTCAAAAGGACGATGAGAAAATGTCTGATGGAAAGGCTGAGGTCTAGAGGTCGTTACAGTAATAGAATATAGCTCACATGTAAAAGGTCAAAGCGTGGGTTGGAGTTTGTAAGTTCTGTATGTTAGTACAGGCGTGGTAGAGCGCCAATCACACAATAAATGCGTTATGGACGCTTGCAACGAAAGGAAAACGCCATTTAGATTCAGTACACAAAATCCGATCTTTATGTACATCTTAAAGCTTGTGTAAAGGGTAACTCTGGTGAAGAAATTTGACATTTACGCGCGCTTCAAGATGTTCTTGATGATCAGATTTCGTGCTTCCGTGCAGTGATTTCACGGATCGCAGGATCATTCGTGTGAATTCATTAATAGGTAAAGTTAAAGCTTTCAATCTAACGTAAAAGAGCCCTGTTTGCCCGCCCGTTTAATGCTTCGGTCCCAATTGAAAAAGGGGCCCTGCCGGGTAGTCCCCGGGCTGTTTTTGGCACTTTCGGGCGTGACCCGTACGTGACCCCGCGGGGCACCCTGCGGCTACCGGGCTATTTTTGGGCCCGGCGGGGGCCCGAGAAGAATTTAATTCTGACTTAAATTCTACCCGGGCCCCACTGACAAAAAGACACCGTGACATCATCGTGAGAACACCGAGACGTACCCCTCCGGTTGCCGACAGTCCTCCGGGACACATTTGTTACATCACAGACCAGATGAACAGAATAAAGGTGTGTACTTCGTAAATTGTGTGACGTCACAGATCAAATAATCACAACAAAAGCGTGAATTCTGCATTACGTATAGGTCAGTACAAGACATTATCAGAGAATCTGCCGGGTACCTGCCGGAGACCGTCCAATGAGGGTGACAAAATTTTTAACAAAAGGCCACTGAAGGAAAGTTTTAATTGTGACCACGACAGCCGATGCCCGCCCGGCTCCTGAGCCCGACCGGGGCCGGCCGGGGCTACATCCCCGACGGGCACCGGCGCAATTGGGACCGAAGCTTAAATCAAACTTTTGAGAAGGTCCCTCCAACGCCCGAAGTGACATGTCTGTCCTTGGTGCTGAAATACGAGTGATGAGTCTGCGTGCCGAGTACCCAATGGAAAGCCCATCTTGAAGTGTCATAAAGCGTCGTTACTGCGGTTTCATGCAATAAACCATCTATCAATGGGTTTGAGTATTAGTATACTGTCCTTGGTGCTGAAGTAGGAGTGACGATTGTGTATGAAAAGTGTTAATGGAAAGCCCATCGTAGAGCGTCGTTACTGTGGCTTCATGAAATAAACTGTTCGTCAGAAAGCTTGAGTATTGAGATAGTGTCCTTGGTGCTGAAATAAGAGTGACGGTTGTGTACGATAAGTGTCGAATGGAAAGGCCATCTTGGAACGTCGTTACTGAGGCCAGGTGCCATGAAACTCCCGTCAATAGTATTACTGATTGCGCTGCTTCGAAGCGTATATTGTCCAGTGGTCAAGAGCCGCTGCTTCATGGACTAAGAGGTTGGGAGTTCGAACCCCTGCTGTTGTACGCTCCTGGAAAGGGCCGAAGCTGTTGGGCGGGGGTTGACAGGATCCAGGATTTTTTGGGCCAGGTTTGAATCCGAGTTGGTTCATTTTCTTTCTTCGCTGAAATGTTGCTTTATACGTTCTTATGCTTTTTCATACGTTTCTGCCCCCTAAAGTTATGATATGCACGGATATGGCAACGAACGTTTATGATGCGGAAAGGCGGCTCACCCGCCGGTAGACTATTCACACCCGGAGTAATCAGCTACCAACAGCCTGCTCTAACTACCTAGCCTCCACGGGAACGTGCAAATGTCAACACTATTTTCGTGTCAAAGTCACTCAGCGGAAATGATCTTATGTTAGCCTAGGTAAAGGCTGCCGTGTCAAATAGATATAAATTGCATACATTAATATTGTGTGTGAGTAATATAATAGCGCGTTGTATCTATGGTGTGCAGCCGTTGCATTCTCTAGTATCTACTTAGACTAGAAGAGGCGTTTTCATTGCAAGTCGCTAGGGGGCACGATTTATAACATTTGGCATGGGAATAGACTTTCAGCTGCTCTTCATGATCGATCACAGCTCTGTCGATTGTTCAAATTTACCTCCGTTATCACGATCACGGTGAATATTAACTGTCAATAAACATAGAATGATAAATAGAGCGGAACAGGCCTTTTAATAAGCTGAGATTCAGATTTTGGCTGAAGTGATCCAACAAATGCTATGAAAAACTGAAATGCATCAAGACCTGCCTGGGCTGTCTCCAGAGCCCGTCTTTGTTTGTTTGATAAATGATAGATATTATTAATATTCCCGATTTACTCAGCTCAATAAAAATTCACCACTGAAAATGCCTGAAGTAGTATTTCAGAGAGTTTGAAATTCAATCGTCGGATCGGAAACTCCATAGCCTTGCCATCGGTCAACCACAACATAAAGGCTCGGATCGGCGGGTTTTTGCTTGGGTCGATCGGCAAACTGGAAACACATTTTCCTAGGCCTAGATTGAAATAATGAATACTCATGAATTGGGCCAGGGATTATAAAAAGTACAAATGAACCTGACGGCACAGCAGTATACCTGCAGCTGCTTTTTTTACCTAACAGAGGCCCTAGATGTTGAACATACATCTTTAACACATTCCGGACACCCATTAGTGCGTGTGTTGATCAATATCTCACCGCTACACCATCAGGTATAATCCATTCTTGTCACGTCTCTCTTATATAAACCTATTAGTGGAGAACCAGGCTGATTCCCAGGGGGCTGAAGCTCCTGTAATCTGGCCTGGTACGTTTTATCCGGAATCTTCGGAGAATTGTACACACAGGGAATATTCTTTTATGTTTGTGAAAAATTAGACATTAATGAGAGGTGCATTAGAGGTTGTGTGGTGATTTTAAACATATGGCTGTGGATTGGAATAGAATAATAAAAAAATTTCATGACAGAAATCTAAACATATTAGAGATTGTGCGTACGAATCAGCTCAATTACTTATAATCTTATAATCCTAACAGTGCTGAGATGGTAATATAATGTATGAAGAAAAAGCAATTTTCTGAAACCCTTTCTTGACAATCTTCTTTCAATGTCTTTGTCCTAAATTCAATAACTGCGCACCATCTTCTATCTAATCATCATCCATTATATCTGTCTAGATTAATCTGCTCTTTAATGTCGGCGTTTGCGCCTATAGTTCCATCCCAAGAGATATATCCACAGGTCTTCGCCACCTGTTAACCGTGCCAAGTTCGTCTGTGGCATTAGCCCTGTATATGCGTGTGTATGCTGCCAATGCCTACATAAAATACTCCGCTAAAAATCAAATACCATTATAGGTCGCTGCTCCTCCAATGATAATGTTTACCATTGGGAATTCAAATTTGATGAGCGGTTGGTACAGATTCTTTTGTTGTTGTTTTTTACTGTCGCTGTGACAAGTGAAAATTATCTTACCCGTTTGGCGTTGTGTGTATGCTGCCAATGACTACATAAATACTCCGTTAAAAATCAAATATTATTATGGGTAGGTGCTCCCTAAATGATCTTTATCATCCCTTGAGAATTGACATTTTATGAGCGGTTAGTACAGTTTTTTTTTGTTTTTGACTTTCGATGTGACACATGACAAAAAGCAACATCTCACCTGTTTGGCGTTGTTCCGACTCGCGGATCGCTTCCCGGCCGTGAGGCGGAAAGCGACCTCAGCCGCCGCCATGTTGGATTTCCTCTTCACCTGCTGTGCGACCTTGTTCCACATGAGGGCGCTTTTTACGTGACGTGACGCGACGTGACGTGAGTGCGTTTCAAATGGTTTAATCAGAAAAACCTGTCCGATCGATAACGTGTGATATCCGTCCCGTTAATCCAGACGACAAACACCCAGCACATGGCCGCCATGATGGGTAATCTATGGAGTAAAACGATACATGGACGCCATGACAGTTACACGCCATATTTGGCAATACCACCACCTGTGTGCTATAGATAGTGCAAATAAATCTCAGATATTGGAAACCCGACAATGTGTACAAAAAACGTCAGGATATATCACCTACGTCTTAATAGATTGAACTGATTGCATCTCGCAGGAAATTGGTAAAACAACACACCGGATAGATCTAGAGAGAAACAAGAAATGATAGAATTACAGTGACGTACCGTATATACAGGAGCAGGTAATTGCAGACCCCCGGTCACGACACAGGCCAAACCGATTTACTCTTGAAAGATGTCGGCCATTTTGTGTCGACCTTGATGTCCGTAAATGAATTTTTGAAGCCGGTAGCTGTCTGGAGAGACCTGATTGGTAAAATAATAATGATGAAAACTCTGTCACCTCATTGAGCGATCAACAGGTCTAGTGATGAAGCAAGAATCGATTTCCAATCCCCTCTGACGCCCCTTCATATTTTACCCATTATAATGTCACCGGACGTATAATGATATTTGATGGATGGCCCTAACGGTACAATTTGCCTAGCCCGCATGCGTGATGACGTCACATTATTTTTTTTTTACATGTGCATGCGGTCAACACTATGAAAGGTCGCATAGAGACATATTATTCAACATTACCTAAGATTATCAAGATATGTTGCTGTATAAAATACATGCAACTGATCACTGTGCCTTCTACCGCTATTGCACATTACACCGTGCATCGTGCCTTCTATCATTATTTTATGTTTATATATTTCTATCGTATATTTATATAGTCTAGAATCTACATGTCTTATACAACCCATTGCCTTGCATTGCACCTGTTACATAATCATTATTACAATTATTGTGCACTAAACTTTGCCACAATATACCAGATGCTTGCAGAACGGAAAAGCATATGATAGACTAATTAGTGTTTCTTTCCAATATTTAAACTACTATAAACCTTTTTTTTATTTTATTTTATCATTTTTGTGGCTGCAACGCTGCATTGCGCAGTGCATAATAAAAGCCCCATACCATTTCCTGCAATAACAAATTTGTTTTTGAGTTCATATCTGTATTACTTTTCCATGACCTGACAGAAAGTGTTATTGAAATTTTAGAAAGACACTGTCTAACAGATTCATTTAATTTCATCTTATTCGTTTACCCTTTGCCAATGTATTCATAAAATCGACCATTGATTATTCTGTCACCAGAAACCCCCCTTTCCATTGAATGGGCTACGCGAATGACCTTTGTGCATCAAATATGGTGGCTTTACACCGAAACGTTGCGTAGCGTCCAACATAGAGAGATTCACTTTAAAATTCCTCTTTCACACTGCTAGACTTCTCATAAATTTATCGCATTTCATATCCAACAGCATGCGGAATGTGTTGATACCGTGTAACCGTTTGGTTCGGCTGTTACGGGCCCGTACCGAGTCGTCCGGCGGCCTGTCTTCGGTGGGGAGGGGGGTCTGGTCCCGAGACGTGGCCACATGGTCGCCGCTGGGCACCGCCTTCAACACCAAAACTGCCAAGAGGCTCAACCTTTTCCGGGAGAACGTGGTGAGTAGTGAACTTAGTTTTAGTCTAGGAAATAATTTTCTTGCTAAATTTGAAGCAGGGTTATGACTTACTAAATAATATTGCTACTAGCTACTGATTACAAGTTTTATAATAACCTGGTTACAAGGGAGTGTATTTACTAGTAGGAGAATATGTAAATTATTTACATATTTATCTTTATTTTGAGCCTCATAATGAGAGTATTCACTAAATACTTTAATTATTAGGCTGAAATAAACAGGCTTTTTTAACAATAATCTCTCCAACTGGCCCAAGCTTTCAAGTGAATCTTGAAGACCAGCAAAAAAGGATCACAAAACCCAATATCATGATGAGTCATACAGGCAAAATATGCCTGTTGTAAGTAATTTTCAATGTAGCCTGCACTGGTGCAAGTAGAAAAGAGGATTTTGAGCCCAGACAGTGAGTGACAGTACAGTAGAGTTGAGTCCTTCGGTCATGTAGGACACCTATCTAGTTTGGAACTGCCCCCAAACCTCCCCCCTCCCCAGGGTCTGTTTGAGGTCCCAGAGCTGACCAGTCCTGCAGGGTTCCAGCGGGCCGAGGCGAAGGTGGCGGCGGAGGCTGCGGAACTCGTCAAGGCAACCATCGCCGCGGAGACGGGTATCCAGGTGGTCCAGCTGTTCGATAAACTGTCGGATACTCTCTGTCGGGTGGCCGACTTGGTGAGGCAAAGTTCTATATTGTCTTAGTTTAAACTAGAACTTGGCATATCTAAAACACTTCCAGGAAATAATTTGGACTTTTGTAACCTTTGGATATGAGGTCACAGATCACTTGGAAGTGTTTTGCATTTTCCTAAATGTATTGTATGATATATAATCTATCAGGCATCACACCACTTCCTGAATTCCTCCACATACTACCCACTTACATTTGTACAACCACTGGTACATGCTGGATCACATTCAGTCTTGCAACCACCTGTGATGCAACCATGCAGGAAAGCTTTCCTGCCCAGCCAGTTCCTTACCCACTGAAGTAAAAAAAGCAATATCTACAATACCCATACTACACTACTGATGCTGATCTCTCACCGTAAATACACCGAAAATATTGCAGATACTGTACATGTAGATATCGATACTATATGATTGTATATCAGCATACTACAGTGTAGTTTGATCATATCATGTTGAAATCTGAATTCTGCATTCTGTATCTTCCCCAGGCTGACTGTATCCGTGTTGTCCATCCCAACGCCAAGTTTGCCCACGCAGCACAGCAGACATGTTTCAACATAGGGGCCCTGGTGGAACAGTAAGACTCTTTTCATGTTCTCAATGTTTTTTAGGTTTGTTGATTGAAGGAGCATTTAAGTTGGCAGGAGTTTGTTTTTCAATAGATAATATAACTTGAGGAAAAGTAAAAAATGTATACTACTTCACAGTGTACAATAAACTACTAGCTGCACATGCATAAAATAGAATCAATGGTACTCTGAAAAATTCACCCTCTAAACCTCTATTCTGATGTTTTTACAACACAGGTTGAATACAAATATTGGCCTATACGATGCCTTAAAAAGACTACTACATAATGATGCAGCAATGGCTTCCATGGACGAGGAATCCAGGTATGTAATGCAGAACACCTGTTATCATGAATGCTGTCCCATGGCATACTACACTAGTGTTATTCATCCAGAAGTTGTTTTGGGTGGCTAAGTTGTGGGTTTGTCTCTTTGACTATTTTACATGTAATTGCTTCGGTTCCATGGTGGGTGGTGGGTGGGGTTTTTGACAGATGATTCATAGGAATGTCAAGCCTGAAGGTGACCCAGCATGCACCAGGTATGGTGTAAGTGGGTAGTATGTGGAGGAATTAAGGAAGTGGTGTAACACCTGATTGAATTACATCATACAATCCCCTCCACTGTTCTAATAGATTCACGAAAACCTAAAACACTTCCTGGAGGCCCATAAACTTAAGTTTTGTCACGAAAACCCAAAATACATACTTATGAAATCTCTCATTTTTTTCTTAAAGTGTGCAGATAAACAACTATTTACAAACAAGCTGTTTATCTCTCCCACAGACGCGTGGCGGAGTTGTTCATGTTTGATTTTGAGATCAGCGGGATCCACCTGCCTGACCTTGAGCGAGAGTTGGCAGTACGACTGAACGAGGACATTCTCACACTGGGCAGTGACTTCAGTAAGGGGGTGAACACTCCTAACGCTATACCCAAGTCTGTACTGCCTGAACATCTCAAGTATTGGTCAGTCAGTTTCTTTGTCTCACAGTGTAGTGGTGTTGCATTTGAAATTTTGTGTCCTTTTTGTAAGTTTTTATCACTTTAGCACAGTTAAGAAGTATAGAAAGAACATTTATTGATTTAAAATGTTTTTCTCTGTAGTTTTTCAGTGGACGGAGACAAGGTCATAGTTCAGAGCATGCATTCAGACTCGGGGAGTGATGCTGTAAGTATTCCACAAAGTTAACATTTCTGACTCTAAAAGGAATTATATAGTTGTATAACATTGCTTTAGGGGGCACAGGAGACTATATATGATAGCAATCCTAAGGTACCTTATGTGGCACCTATAGCAGCTATTTTTTACACTTTCTGCATTTATATGAGGCCTTGCTGACATGTAGTTGATTGTGTTTTGTCAAAAATATTTTATATCCTAAAAATCACAGAGATTGCATGGGAGATAGAATGGGATAACAATTAGCATTGTTACAATATAGTAACTGGCACACCTACATGCGCACACATGGCTCACCAACCCCCCTTGCAGCTGACACCAGTACTGCATCTGTTCTTCCCCCTGACAGATCCGTGAAGCGGCCTATAAGCTGTACCTGCACCCCAACCCTCAGCAGGAGAGAGTGTTAGAAGCCCTCCTCACAGCCAGGCACAAACTGGCACAGCTAGTGGGCTACCCAACCTTCGCTCACAGAACTCTCAAAGGGACCATGGCTAGAGATCCAGGTACAGGAAAATCTGTAGGATTTTATCTGTTTTGCAAATTAAACAGTCACAGTTCTTTACACACGAGATGGTGCATAGAGCAGCCCCCATCTCAGTAGACCATAAGCCAAACAACTTTGTGCAAGCACTACAGCAGGAGGATAGTCCACTGTAGTGTGTGTGTGTTCAACTACAGTACTAGTGCCATACCTTTTTTGTAATTGCTGAGTGCTAAGCATTTGGGCATTTGCTAACATTTATTTCAACCTTTCTTTGCTTCTATTTCAAAATTCAAGTGTTAATGTTAACATAAGTTATATAGCTTGAGTACATGTACTTTTGTTCATTTCAATCAAAACAAGAAGTGCCCTATTCCTAGCATGCTGAAGGTTGACAAGATTACCCTTTCTGCTTACCAGACCTATTGTAGCTCCCGAGCCTTTATCCTCACCATAAACTCAGGAGCTAACATAGGTCTGGTAACCAGGCTTTAACAAGATTACACTGTTGTTCTCTGGATCCCCCAGAGACAGTGATGAGTTTCCTGAAGGCTACTGGGGAAGGTTTGATCCACCGGACTATGGAGGAGTTTAGCCTGATGAGAGACTACAAGGCCAAACACAACCCCAGTAACCCTAACCTGCAGCCCTGGGACCCTCCTTACTACAGCGCTTTCATCAAGGCAGACAGGTACAAACTAGCCTCTAACAGGCTTCAGGAGGCGGCTGGAAAGAGTAGACCGGGTGCTGCAGACTGTACTCTCTAGCGGACCAACTCCCCTGGCATGTTATCTCTCTATTTGGCCAATTTTTACTCTTTTCAGCTGCCTCCTGAAGCCTGGTAGAGGTCCAAACTGTTGAAGCAACATTATTGCTTGTTACCTCTTGGTATGGAAGTATTGTGTTGGGTGGTTGAGCTGAGCTGTATGTAGGAGTACAGCTCAAGTCCAAACACAACCCCAGTAACCATAACCCTCCTTATTATAGTGCCTTCATCAAGGAAGACAGGTACGAACAATCTTTGCTTGTTACCTTCACCAAGAAGGTTATGTTTTTGGTAGCACTTGTATGTATTTGTCTAAGTATGTACTACAGTAGTATGTAATAAGTCTAGAAGCTATGGATGGATTGTCATGAAACTTTGTAGATAGGTAGGCATTGATAAGACCTCAAAATGATGAGATTTTATTGACAGAAATAATGACAGATCAAAAGGTCAGACACAGGAAGTGGGGTGAACTTGAAGGTCACAAAAACATAAAATACTTGCCGGAAGTATGAAATTTCAGATTTTTTGTTTACTCTTTTTTGTTAAAAGGAAACCATATTTTTTCCAGGTTCAAGATAGATCCTACAGAGTATGCCCCCTACTTTTCCCTGGGGGCATGTATGGAGGGTCTCAACCACCTCTTCAGTCAACTCTACAGGATCTCCCTACAACCCCAGGAGACCCACAATGGAGAGATTTGGGACTCGGACGTCAAGAAACTGGTCAGTTACCATGGAAATCAGTCATAATGTGTTTGTAAAGCTTTAATTTTCTAAAGCTAGAACAAGTTTTTTTATCTGCAACTATGTTAACACAAGTGGCTTTGGCTTTATTCATTCATACCAGGCTGATTTTCAAGAATTTATTCATAAATAAATAGAAATCCACAAAAATAATAAAAAAACATAGTGATTGGACATATGAATGCTAAGTCATAAGCCATAAAAACTCAAAATCATAATTGTCATACGTCATGTCAATATTTATTTTCAGGCAGTGATGCACGAGACAGAAGGCATTCTAGGATACATCTATTGTGACTTCTTCCAAAGACCTGGCAAGCCCCACCATGTAAGTGCAAAGAAAGTCATGAATTGATGTAGTGTATTTTAGATGCACAAATGTATTATATATATAAGTTAGCAAGTTTTGTAAAAATCCAAATGTAAAATGTTATTTCATATTCCCTGTTCTAATGTACAATTTTGTATGCTCCAGGACTGTCATTTTACCATCAGAGGAGGCCGGCAGCTAGACAATGGAGACTACCAGGTAAATCTATTTTTCTGTTGACTCCTACTATTTAGTGAAACCTAGCCTGACTATATCGGTATCATGCTTTTAGCAGCCCTTCCACTGGTCGGGCCCTAGCCTGACCTGACTATATCACTCTTGCTATGTTCAGTCATCAACCGTTACATTCTTTATGAAATTAGTTTTGTAATTTCTAAGAAGCAAACGTAACTAGTACATGTAGTACTGAAATATTACATATAAAAAGTAATGTTGTGTTTTGTACTTAATCTTCAGATTCCAGTAGTGGTTCTCATGCTGCACTATCCGTAAGTACAAGATATGCCAGTACATGATGTCGATTTTGAATCTGTTTTAGATGTATTGGGTCAAGTTTTATGCTGAAATAAGGTATTCCAAATTTTATTTCATCTGTTATATTTGTCTAATATGTTATATATTTTGTCTTCTTCTCAGGCCTCCTTCCATGACCAAACCAACATTGCTGACGCCAGGGGTAAAAAACTTTTGGAGTTATTTTGATACTACTTCATTTGATTTGTTGCCTAGTTGTTTCTTCACATAAAGCTTAGTTATATTAAGGCTTGTACCCTTTTTGTCCCCTTTTCTTCAGATGATGGAAAATCTCTTCCATGAAATGGGACATGCCATGCACTGTGAGTAGAGAAAAATCTTCTTTTTTAACTTGCACTGTACATGTATTTCATTTCTGTATGGTCAGAATATTTGTTTTCTTTTTGCTAATATCTGTTTATGTTGTGCAGCTATGCTTGCAAGAACAAGATATCAACATGTCACTGGTAAGTACCCTTGTTTTTGAAGATATTTCCACATGCTAGTTACATTGAGGACACAGATAGGAAGTTACATGTACAATGTAGGCCCCAGAAACAAAAGGTTATCTTATTTCCTGTCTTCAATTTTCTACATATACAAATGTCTTGTCTTATACTAGGAGCCAGTGGGAAAGGACATGAACAGAATAAGATAGAAATTCACAATTGTATTGAATAAAACAAGAGTGACAAAAACTCTTAAATACATTTGTATTCATCAAACATCTTTTGCTTCATCATCTTTGCAGGTACCAGATGTTCGACAGACTTTGCAGAGGTCCCTTCAGTTCTGATGGAGTACTTTGCCTCCGACTACAGGGTAACGTGGTCCATTCTCTAACTCTTCTGTACATGAACTAGCCTGGTATCCAGTCTGATCGTGATTGGGGGTATTGGGGTGTTCAGGCAGGTTGTGTCTTCGGGGGCTCTAATAGCTTTCCCCCGCCCAGTGCAACAGACCGTCCCGGTAGGAGTGTTACGCTAATTAGAGACAGTATGCTTGGGGATTTGGTTTACCCCCAACACGATGTTCGTGGAGGGCTAATTAATCTCTCGTGAAATACACACCGGGAAACCTATGTGAGGCGGGCGGGCCAGAGCTCTTACGGCCCCGACCACGATCAGACTGGATACCAGGCTATACATGAACCAGTCATGTTTCAGCCATAGATGGTCTTGTGGTGAGGTGAAAGGTGATACAGCCACCTTTTGATAACACTTTAATGTCAATCCTTCCACAAATGTAGGGTAAATCTCAATAAATATTGATAAAGGTGTGTTCAGGAAGGTTTAGTTATATATATTGTAACCTTCTTTCTGTTTGTACAGGTGCTGTCACAGTTTGCCAGGCATTATCAAACAGATGAGGTGAGATTGAAGTGTTTTTATTCATTTTATTTTCCATAAACATTGATAAATAAACAAATTGGTTTGTTCATTGCAATTAGTTGTATGTTTTTACAATGTCGATTAGCATTGGTTGTATTGAGCTGCATGTATTTTTTCTGTCTTCTCTTTTCAGACCTTGCCTGAAGACATGTTGAAGAAGCTGTGTGAATCCAAGAAGCTGTTCCAGGCTTCTGTAAGTCATTACTGTAAATCTGGAAATGTTCACGGAGGTTTTACATTGGTGGTGTCCTCTTAACGTGAAATCACGACACCACAAACAAACATGTCTTTTGTATTCCTGTTGTGCTAATAATCCCCTCCAATTCCACAAATACCCCAAACACTTTTCAGAGGTCTGAAGTCTCTGATTCTGACATAACAATGTCTTCCACCTCTGACCCCACTAGGAGCTGCAGCAGCAGGTGTTATATGCTATAGTGGACCAGGTGTACCATGGGAAACATCCTCTGGGAAAGGTGGGTCTTAAGATGGAAAACTGCCTTAATGATTATTTCCGCCCTTTTTGCACAAACAGAGCTTTCTGATTGTATATTTTACATTGAATTTTAATCTATTATTTTGGTGATACACGTAATTTTACTTACTGGTGCTGCTTTCTTTATTTCCCACACAGAGCACAACAGATATTTTTGCAGAGTTGCAGAACAAGTACTATGGGCTGCCACATGTTCCAGGAACAGTATGTGCCCATTTTACTTCACATTCATGTTTTGAATCACACATGATAAACTTGTATGACTGTTTGATTTTTAGGTAACTATTTAATGCACCAGTTGCCTATTTTGGTCCCCATTATCGTGAGTGTAAAAGCTAAAATTTAAGAGCCAAATGTGACTCCACGCTACTACTAAACTCCAGTATTTTGTAACCCTGGAACAGGCTTGGCAGCTGAGATTTAACCACCTGGTTGGTTATGGTGCCAAGTACTACTCCTACATCATGTCCAGGGCTGTGGCTTCCAGACTCTGGCACCAGTGCTTCAAGGACGACCCTTTCAGTGGGTGAGTGTTGGAGCAGAAAAATATATCCACAAAACAGTTATGGTAAATCTATGCTACCTACAAAACACTTGAATATATGATACCTGTTCACTGTGTGACTAACACTGACAGACAGTTTTGAAAAAATGTCCATGTAGGAATCTGTTGGTGTCTACATGGACCTTTTTCTGTCTGTCAGTGTTACGCTCACAGTGAACAGGTATCATAGTATCACACCAATTTGGTGTACTTCAAAACATTAGATATTGGACAATTGGCATAAATGAATAGTTTTCAAATAGCTATTTACAGCCGCAGTTCTAAGTGTAGAAGTGAGGTGAAAAATATGCTTCTTACAACATTAACATTGTGACTTGTGTTTTCCAGCACTATGGGTGAACGGTACAGAAGGGAGATGCTGGCACATGGAGGAGGGAAGGACCCGAAACTCATGGTAGAAAGTAAGAAGTTACTCAGTTTTATACTTTGTATATTCTGCTATCATCCTAGTCATATTTCTAGCAGTCCATTCAACAGCCATGCCCCTAGATGCTCAATGACCTCAAAGTCAGGGAACATCTTTATCCTGTTGATTTATACATGTGCTGACATGAACCAATTATTGTCAGACTGAGAACTGTCTGTTACCATAGTGTTAGAGGTTGTGATGACTGGTTTCTGTAGTGTCACCAAGTAGAGTAGGGGCATTGTCAATAGATAGCTTTAAACGTCTAGAGCTAGAAGTTCAAGGGTTAGGTATAACAAGTCGATCGGTGTAATATAGCCAGCTGCCGCCGCACCGCGTGCCTGCGAAGCTGGTGTGTTACGCCGAAAGGCGGTTATACCGGCTACACAGATACAGATACAGACAGAGAATCCTGAGTTCCTATTGGACTGATTTTCATACCGATAAAAATCCTGAGATCCTATTGGTAGTTCTGGGAATATTTGGTATGAAATATAATTGATGAACTCTTTTCTACCTTTAGGCATGCTACAAAAGCAGCTTTCAACTGAAGAGTTGGTAAGCAAATCTTAAAATCTCAACATGAATTTTGTACTTTTGTACATAACAGTAATAGGCACCCTTTCCATTCTACTTTGTGACATGGATTTTTCTTTGTTCTCACTGTAATCTTTTTGCCAATTTCAGGTGCAATCCTTGCTGGATGACTTGGGAGAATGAACTGTGGAGAAAGAGCCATGAAATGCAGGTCTCTCTAACCAAAGATTTAACCCATAATTGGACTGGCAAAATTGGCAACATAACGAGCCGGCATACACATACATATACAGGCAGCAAAAATCTTCCATAGTTAGAATGAATACATGGTTCTGTTTTCTATTCTACTTGTATCTGATGCCAACAGTCACATATTGTAAGAAAAACTGGCTACTTGATACTACTAGACTTTTAAATACAAAGGTACATCTACAACATTAACTGATCAAAGATGGGCTATGCTGGACTGGTTGCATAAACTTTTTGGCAGTGTGTTTTGACTGCGGGTGCACTGGTGCACCTAGATATTTGTATAGGATTCTCTCACACCTGCTTTGAGTCATGTAAAAGATAGGTACTTACATGTATGAGGGGCCGTATTGGAGCTGGGATGTGCCATTTATGTGTAAAACTTCTTGACTTTGGAGGCAACATATTTTGCAAGTTGCTGGGATAAAATAAAGCTATATATTCCTGATGATGCAGTTTTCCATAGTAACTTGATGCAGACCTAAAATACCATTCCTAGAATTTTTGTTAAAAACTGGTGGAATCGTGAACAATTTTCTCCTGTTCTACAATAAATGACTATAAATGACTTGTATATAGATGAATTCATAAACATAAGTAAGATCAAAGTATGTTGTAATGTCTTTATTTATGTGACATATCATAAATTGCATAACTGTGAAGCATCACAAAAGTTACACATACTGACAACTTTCTAATTAAGATGCCATTAAGTACTTTTCAGCTCCTTTGCTTTATTTTCAGTGCAATATATATAAGATCAAGATGACAAAAGGGATAAGAGCCAGGATAGAAAATACCCTCTCTCGCACTCCGCCATGCAAGTCAAGGTTTCTGTGTGAGAAAATAAACTGTGCACTGCCTCAGCAAGTACGTGAGCAAAGCAATCAGCCCCTGACAGGAGAAACTGTGTAACATAGGCCACTCTATTATAGTATTCTGAAAGTGAAATTTGCAGGCAGATTTCTTCAGTTCTACTCCATCACTAGTACCCATAGACTGCTGTTGGGCCTCGCTGGACACCTGGTCTGTACCCTCCCCCAGCTGGTCTCTGTTGTTGTTGTTGTTGTTGTTGTTGAGGCAACTTCTCCCGTGCCCACTGCTGCATGCTGTGGAAGTGTAGCTTTGTGACGTCGTGGAGGTCCTCAAATACTGTGGAGGATACAAAAAATTTGGAGAGAAAAATCTTGAATAGGGAAGTCAGCAATGGTGAAGAACTTTGTAAAAACCACCATCAACAAGTACTCAAATGCATCCACACATTTACCAGCAAATGTATCTGTTATATCAATTTATTTGGCTGTAGGACAGAAGAAAATGAATGGGCAGTAGAAATGCAATGCCTTATTTTTTGGATGAGTCAATGTTGTACGTTCAGTCAAATTCTGCCAGGTGGTGCAACTGCACTGCGCAAGAGCAACCTCCTACCCCTCATCATATCACAAGGACAAACACTTGATTTTCTACATCTTTTATGTTGCATCACTAACCCTTCCCAGTGTACTCCTTGTTCCCAGAACTCTTCAGAATCTGCTGCAGAAGCCAGACCATGGCACCTGTACTTGTCACCCGATCTGCCAGAGGAAGCTGTTGGAAGTACACCAGGTCCAAAGCGAAGGGGTTGCGCGGTGCCGGTACTGTGCAGAGGTGGACTAGCTCGGCAAGGATGTCCCAGAGATGGATTTCTGTGTTCACAAATTGTACAAAAAGTTTTTTCTTCACTTGTTATCCTTTTAAAGAGGTGTTCTTTTTTGTAAAAATCGTGACCCTTGCTTGTCCAGAAATCGTGATCCTATTTGTTGAGAACAGAACAGTACCAAGGCAAGCCACAAGGGGGTCCAAAATCTAATTCATATCAATCAATCCCACCATTACACTGGCTAAACTACAAATACTGCAACAAAAACTTTATGATTGTTAAAATACTATAATAGTAAGCTCGCCATTCTTCCAAAAATAGTTTCATCCGGTTGGTAACTTATAGGATGTAAGGGATTTCTTTTTTACACAACCAAAAGATCATACCTTGCACCACCTACATCAGCTACATATGATATAGCGGCGAGAAGCAGAACTCCAGTCAGAAGCTCTGAGGAAGGTGTCTGATAGACACCGAAACGTAAGCAAGGTACATGTATGATCTTTTGGTTGTGGAAAAAAGGAATCCCTTATAAAATCCAGTAAAGCTGGCCAGTGCAGCCTCTTACCTTCTCGTCCCCAGTTGTTGGTAGCATTGAGTTTGAGGGGGTTGTCCTTGTCGGCTGAGGAGGCGTGTGTGAGGTTGACCAGGCGGTGGTGATGAGACCGGATCCACACGTACGGACAGTTGTACCTGTTTTAATAGTTTATTCAAAATTGTTACGCGACAATACAAGGAGTGCACCAAGCAGCAAGTATGCTGATAGTACACCTGCAAAAAATGAAGAAATACAAACATTACAAGGAACACAGAAAAAATAATGAACAGTTATAAGTAGTACATAAATATCATTATATAGTAAAACACACTTGTATCTATAGTAATTACAGTTGTACCTGGCATAACCAGCGATCAGGAACAGGGTCTGGTCAGGAGCCTGGTGGAAACACAAACAAACATACAAGTGTCTGTTAAGTCTCCTGTCCTAAGTGAGTGGCTACTCAAGACATACTGGATAAAAATTTGGCAAGCTTTTTCTTCTGTTGGAACACAGCTATGACTGTAAATAATGATTTCTTTCGTGGTACTTTTATCTTTGGTTTTCACGGTCAATTCTGTATTGTGAACTTTACCATCATTACCGTCAACAAATAATTCGCCAACTTCCTTTTTGCTGTACCTGCCTCCACAGTTAAGGTATAGTTCTGCAAACATTTCCATTTTTCTCAGAACTGGAACATGAAGACTTAGTGTTACCTTTAGTGTTACAGTTGCAGTTCACTCTAATTCTGCCAGGTGGGGTATTTGCACTGCATGAGCAAGGAAAGGGCTTGTGAAGATGTACATAACTTTGTTGTTCAGTGTTAAACTTACCACAGGAGTTATCTCTTTGTCACTTGGTGAGGCGGGAGGCAGCCCAATGTTCATATGTGCCAGACCACTCAACCTTTGTTGAGTTCCGATGGACAGCATAAGTGAACTCCTGTGGAATAGTTCAGTCATTAGCTTCTTTTATATTCTTTTTATCATGGAGTTACAAAATCAGAACTCCATGTTTTCATCAAGATAAAATATTTACCTTTCCTGTATTTAGCAAATGTATGAAATATGCCTTACAGTGAGGTGAAATGTCATCTTTCTATATTTCTTGATACTATACATGTATCACAGTCCTTATATACATGTATGTAGGAATTTAAATTACATATTGACCAGTATTACTGCTGTTTTCTTTATGTGTTTGTTTGTTTGTTTGTTTTTCTTGTTTAGGTTCTTACTCAGTAAGTAAAACTACTAGCATTGAGGCTAAAAAAAAGACATGCGCTATATCAATCCACAGCAGACAGGACAGGACAGGACAGAGACAACCATCTAGAGGAGAGATGTAGAATAACCCTTGTTTTTCTGACTTGTTGAGCGGCAGTTCTGAGGACTTCTCAGTGGAGATGTGGGTACTCAGGGGCACTCCTGATTCAGGCTGGAACAGAAACAAATATCAAGTACTGGATTTGGGCACTGGAATTGATTTGCTCAATCTAACAATTTCTTAATTTCTTGACAGTTTTTAGACATAACTTTAAACTGACCTTAAGTTCGTTGATGATACTGCACAGCAGCTCTTCTCTCCCCCTTAAGTACAAAGTGAAGTACTGAAATCCCTGCATGGATACAATGGAAGTAAAACATTCTGTAACAGCCATACCGTTCAAACACTTAATGTTGGTCAAGATCATATTATTCCCAATATAAGACATGACATTCCCAGTGACTCTAGTCACCACTACTATTTATATGAGGTGGTGTTTATGTTTAGGTATAGCAGGTGGCTATTTTGGGATATAGCTGGTGATTTTAATCTGGTAATAATATAACCCTATTTAGATGGTTAGAAATAAAAGAATTGGTTATATAGAGGTAAAATGCAGTTATCTAAATGTATAGAGACATAACAGGTGGTTACTTGAGTAATAACAGGTGGTTATACAGAGGTCTAATAGGTGCGTATGTAGAGGTCACAGCTAGGTATCTAGTTTATGTTTAATACAGTTATGACAGGTGGTTAACGCAAGTGGATCAGGCCTCGAATTTAACTTTTTTCACTATTGTCCCAGAATTGTCCCGAACATAGATTTCAATTGTCCCGAACTGAAGATGGACTGTCCCAGCCTGCTTTTCAGGAAATAAGTTGATGACAAAAATAAGAAAACAACAACTGAATTTGTACATTTTGTAAATGTAGGGAAATACATGATAATATCATGGGCATGGCACCGTCCCTGATATTTGGAATCCCTGATTGGTCAAATTTAAATGTTTGTCAGAGTATTATATATTTATAGGCTGCCAGCAGTCTGCAGCAGGATGGATGGATCGCGTTCCCAAATGACGTGGATGGTCTTAGAATTTTCCAATTGCCCCAAAATTGTCCCGAAACGTAATTTGAATTGTCCCAAGCTGAAAATTTAGTGTCATTTGACACTGGGACAATGTTAATTTCGAGCCCTGGTGGATATACATGTAAGTTATAGTTGTTTTTTTTTTTTTATTCCAACATGTAATCACCGGACGTGGTGACGACACACTCAATTTTTTTTTCAACTTATATTAATGCCGCCACCAACACAGGGGACAAATACATGACAGGACAATACTCATTTACACCTGAGCTGAGTGAGGAAAGCCGTGTAAAGTGCCTTTCCCAAGGGCACAAGATCGGTGGCCTGTCAGGACTCGAACCCGGGACTCTAAGTTCCGAGTCGCGCACTCTGCCACTACGCCACACGACCCCACAACAGGACATGATATTCCCAGTGACTTTTATAGTTATAGTTGTAACAGGTGATTATACAGAGTTATCATAGGTGTTTATCTATAGGTTAAAGATGTTTATAGTGAGAGAACAGGTGATTATGACATAACACAGTTAATCATTAGCTACCTTGATGGCTCCAACTCGTAGGATTTCTCCCAGGAAGGCCTGAAGACGTTTCTTCTCTGCCTTTTCGCGTTCCTGGGTGAAAGAATTTGCTAACAGGTGACCAAAACGTAGACGTTGACACGCCCCACCCCCCCCCCTTCCCTTTAAGGCAAGTCAGGGCCCTAAAAACACATTTTACGGTCTACAATATGTCATACCTGCACAGAAAACATACACAATCCTTTAGAATCAAGATAATATGCCAGAACTGTATGATTTTTTTCATTTAAACGGCATAAAACAAGGAAAATTTGTACGTCAACAATGTTTACGTACCGTGGCGGCGGCCATTTTGGAATGGAAGTCTCGGGTTTTGAAATCTCGCTCTGCACGAGATTTGAAACCACCTGTTATATCTTCGCTCAGAAGATTATGTTTTTCGCTCCCGGTAGTTTCTTGGTTTGCATATAAAATCAATAAGTAAAGTAAATAAATCTTATGAATAAAGTGTAGTACGTTTAGATATATGTTACCTCCATCCTTCCTAGCAAATGTTCTTCGCGCTTAATATCTGATATTTGCTCGTACGCATTTTAAAACGTATCCAAGCATCACACAATTTTGCAAGAAATCCGTTCCTCGTTTTAAGCTAACGTATTAAAAGATAGTATTAACGAAAAGACAAATGGAGGCTTTAAAAAAACACGTTTATTATAATCGTATGTACAGGGTAAATTACTAGTACACAGATCTAGACATTCACTTATTTTCTTTTAATGAATTAACGTGTGTCTCTACTTCACATCTAACACATTTCCTATTTGAATGAATTGTACGTAGCAGTTTGTTATTGTCGAAAGTTATGTATATCAATTACATACTTCTAAGTTCTAACACAGAGAGCGTAGGGCTAGGTATTCTTTGGTCTTATATACAGTGAGTCCTGTACATAATCACCACACAAACTTTATTTGTTTCTTCAAAGTAGAATTGTTGTGTATACGTACTACTAGCCTATTCATTGTCAAGTCTACAAATATAACGTGTTACACACTGGCGTTGCATATATTTCGAAAGGGTGCTATTTCATAAAAAGTGATCATACAATGAATCCTACTGAGAAATGCCACAGGAAATACCAGTATGTACATGATAGAGAAAAGTCACAGAAAATTTCGATATATAGTTTGTTGCTGTTGAAATATATATATACATTTATCATGTATCTTAACACGAGGCTTACTACTTGGAAATGGAAGTCATGAGGATTCAGTATCATTATCAGATCTGCTTCCAAGTATAGAAAAAATGACAGCTGTCGGAGTTTTAACGTACACTTTTTACATATTTCAAAATAATAAAAAAAGTTCAGATACACATGTCAGAAAATTTCTACAGTCCCGTTAGTCCCAGATTGTCCCGTTAGTTGCATTACCACATTTCATCAAAATGCATGTTTCAGTCTTTTTTCTTTCATCTGCTTAACTAATTAGTTTCTGGCAGGTAAGGAAAAGGTTACAGATAGCTTCGTACAAAGTCCTTATTTTGACCTATAAACGCGTCATTGATGTGTCGGATACACTCCCACCCTAGAGGTAGACCGTGTTATATATTGGTCCCTGTATAGTGGATATGTTTTAGACGCTATGATACTCGTAAGTTTTTTCCTCCTTTCTATGAAACTACACTAGCCCATCTCAACAGGAGATAAAAGTACGACATGTTAAATAGGTGGTGTCCTTAAGTCTTCTCAGAGACACATAATATATAAGTACATGTATTAAGAAGCCAGTTGACGAACGTATATCTGTTATTGGTAATTAATTGGTGATGTTTGCATTTTTTGGTGAATCAAACGTAGGGCGATATCAAAATAAAGTACAATGTAGCCTTAAGAAAAAGTTGCGATTTTGTCAGATTTTCAAACGGGCACTGCTAACACTAACAGTCAAAGACAACATCATTACAGTGAGACTTAATTGATAACAAGTTAAGTACAATATCTATACGTTATTTACAGCTTGGAGGTATCATATGGCGTGTATTTCCCTTCCGGTTTAACGCGGTTGCGTATCCTTTATTGTTCTCAATCGGTGATGTTTTGAGTGACTGGTCGAAAGCTCTAGGTGAGAATCATTTTTTAAACATGTAACTACCAACACAGATGAACTTTCATGATAGTATAAGTACAATATCTATACGTTATTTACAGTTTGGAGGTATCGTAAGGCGTGTATTTCCCTTCCGGAGGAAACGCGGTTTCCGGATACCCGGCGTCGTTCATCGCCACTTCCGTCGTCTTGGGTCCGTTCCGTTCCCTTTCCGGACTGTAGCAGCCGGCAATGTCGTACTTAAGCGGGATGACGCCTCCTTTGAACAGCCGCTGGGTGACAGAGAGAACGTCGGTGCAGGTTAGACATCCAGGTAATAAGATACGCCAAAAAGCAGCAACTGGATATGATTTTGGTCGCATGAGTTACATTCCTGAGTAACTGCTTTTTTGAGAGAGAGAACGGTTTATTCAATATGAAAAAAAACTTTGCACCACCAGTGCTGAATTGCGGTTTCTGTACACAAATACGTAATTCAATATTATTAGGACTTTCCTTTTTATATTCCAGCATGTAATCGCAAGACGCGGTGACGGCAAACTCAAGATTTTTCAACTTATATTAATGCCGCCACCAGCACATGGGACAATACAATAATCATTTTCCCAAGGCCAAAAGATCGGTGGCATGTCAGGACTCGAACCCGGGACGTGTTGGTTCCGAGTCGAGCACTCGGCCGCTACGCCACACGACCCCATATTATCAGGACTTAAGCATTAAACATTACAAATAAGAGTTAAACAAGTCACAAATCCTGGAAAATCACTACTATCACGACTTAAAATTCTGTTCTTACCTGTGTGAGGAGGGAAACCAGCAGGATGGTGACGAAGCTGCACAGCATGGCCAGGGTGCGGAACGGGAACAGCTGGGTCTCAGGCTCCACGAAGTACGGGAACCTACAGGTGGGGAGAAATGGGAATCGCACATTTAAATCGAGTCACCTGGACATTCTGTTTCTATGGACACTGTCTAATAATATTGGGCACCGAACAAGACTTCTTCCTGAGAGGGGTGAAGAGGCTATTTACATCACTCAACCGGGACGGGGGCTGACATCGTCTACCAGATACCTTTGATCACCCAGTGTCGACGTCACACTTCAAACAAGCCACGTGACAAGTCTCACTGGGTCAGTCTATTGAGGAATACCACAGTAATTGGTCGAAAGCTCCAGGTGAGAGAGGTTTTTGTGTTGGATCAAAAGTTGGAAGTTTGAAACCTCTGCTTGGAGAGTACCAAAAAGATTGCGTCTCAGGCAGTAGTAGACGTTTACGTACTTGATCGCTGGCGGGAGACCAATGATCGTCTCCCCTCCGCATAACCTGAGCACCATCCCCACGATGTAGCCGCACAGCGAGCCGTACGTGTTGGTGAACTGCAGGTACACCACAGAGATCAGCTGGGGGAACAGGATGACGAACACCAGGTCGGAGCACAGGAACCACAGACCTGCAGGAGTACGAAATTTCGGACGTTAAATGTCACACTTTTACGAATTTGGCCTCCTGAACGCTAGCCGAACGTAGCCTCTACCAGGCTTCGGGAGGCGTCTGAAAAGAGTAGAAATCGCGGCCAAATAGAGAGATAACATGCCAGGGGAGTTGGCCCGGCAAACTGTACTCTCTAGCGGACCAACCCCCCTGGTATGTTATCTCTCTATTTGGCCGATTTCTACTCTTTTCAACTGCCTCCTGAAGCCTGGTAGAGGCTAAGCCGAACGCCCGCCGACCATGGTTAGGATTGGGTCGGCGTAAAGTCTGCCACGGTTCGGCTGTGCCAGCCGAATGTTTCAAAATGTTTAAAAAAGTCGAATGTGGGCGTTCATTATTTGGGCGTTCGTGATGTTCGATCCTGCTTGGCTGGTTTTCGACCACTGTCACCACTGTCACATCAGGATAACTAAAAAGGATCATTTAAGCTACGAGTATCCGGATAAAAGGTGCAGTGCTGTTGGTCGTTGAAAATCTGATCGTTGTGTACCCTTTGTGTTGGAATAAGTTAGGTTCAGCATCGCATAACTATTGAGATGTTGATCACATCTAAAAACATACACGTACCGTATATGGTCTTGATGGTGAGTGCCAGGACAGTCGCCAGCGCTCCCATCACGAAAATGGACGCGCGCATCACCCAGATGATTTCCCTCTCAGACGCCTGTAAGTAAGAAAGAAAGAGTTTACACTTAACTATAACTTTCTCCAGAATTGAAGGGCTTTAACCAAGAAATTCGAGAAAATATGCAATCCTTTAATAGCCTGATTTACGCGGTTTTACGGTTGCCGGCCGCCCAACATCCAGTTGCGGGGAGGGGCCACTAAAGCCACGGACGGCAGAGTTTGCGTTACACAGACTCTTCAATCCTTGGCTTCCCGAATCCCCCCAATGTCTATCTGTAATATCTGCAGGCTCCCGACCAGTCTCTGATACCTTTGACATCCTATCGTATCACTCTGTCAATCTTCCACCCACGTGCTTTCAACCGACTCTGTCTGGACAACCACACACACACACACACACACACACACACACACACACCAGTCACCCAAAACAATACTCCCTTTCCCGGAAGACAGACGACGTACCTTCTGGCGGAAGACCAGCTTGTACACATTCCTGGAGAACATGGAGCTCGCTGAGAGGATGGAAGAATCCGCAGACGACATGACGGCAGCCGACACGGCGCCAAGTCCGAAGAACGACACCCACACGGGCGTCAGGTGCTGCAGGACCAGCGGCAGGATCAGGCTGGCTTGTGGCGGGTCTTCCGTGGCGGGGTCTTTGCCGTAGCTTGTTGATGGCCAGTCTACGAAAGGGAGGGGAAAAGAATTTTCAACATAAAAAGAATGCGCCTAAAAGTGATCGTATACGACTAATGTTACTCATATGCGACGTAAAACGAGATACTGGAGCAAGACATCAGCGATATCTTTGATAGACACATTAAAATTACACATTAAAATACACCTATTGGTAGACCGATGACAAGGGCTGGTGTGTGTGTGTGTGTACGTACATGTGTGTGTTTGTGTGTGTGTGTGTGTGTTTGTGTGTATGTGTGTGTGTGTGTGTGTGTGTGTGTGTGTGTGTGTGTGTGTGCTAAGTCGACGCTAATGCAATATTGGTGAGCAAAGTTCATACTGTGTAGAACTCTTTGTCAAAGAAGCGTTGCCAATGCTACTCAACATTGATTCTTTAGAAATTATCTGAAGGACAAATAGCAAAAGTCTAGCTGGGGAAACTCCAGTTGTGAAACTCCAGTCTTCCAGAGCTTCAAGCGAAGGAAAAAAGATTAAGGGCACAGCATCGAAGTTGTCTGCTGCAGGAAAAGGGAAAAGAATTCAGATTTTAAAGATCTGTTCAGAAGACAGTAGAAGCGATGAGATCAGAAGCCCAACCAACACCACCACCGTCGCCATGACAGTCCGCCATGACAGTACGTTCGAATAGGCTACATCCGGGTCACCTGTGGAGGCTCCGATCGCACCAATCAGAACGGCGGGAATGGCCATGATGACGCAACCAATCGCAGCCGTGAACGACAGCACCTGCGCACGGTGGGCCGATCGTGAGGACAGCACCCGCTGGAAGTACACCTGCCACGGGACACCGCCACACATCTAGCAATAAAACAAAAACAAAAACAAACATACATACATATGAAACGTCGTAAAAACATACTAAGGCCACACTGATTTTATGATTTTATGGATGACATCCTCTGAAGACCTAATCTCCAAGCAGATCCCTCTCGGTGGCAAAAAGACAGTATCAAATTGGCCAGGCAGTATCCATTAGCCAGAGAAGCTCCGCAGCCACCGACGGGTGGGGATCAGGACAAAAAAAACGGCCATATATAAAAAGGTAACGATCAATCCCCACAACCTCTGCTTGGAGAGAACTGAAGACCCCTAAACTATATAGCTAGTGCGCGCGGGCGAATGAAAAAAAAATTGCAGCCGAGAAAGAAAATGCTGCTGAACCACAGGAATACAACACTGATATTTTGGTACTGTGAATTTGCGGCAGTACATAGCACATGCTGGCCTTTGGCGGCATTTATGAGTTCTTTAGTTCCGTGGAGCTTCGGCAGCCTGGGTGCCATCTTCCGTATTTACTGTCCGCTAACTACCATGGACTAGAGAGGATGGCACCCAGGCAAGGCCCTCGGAGGTGATTTTTCTTTTTGTTTTTCACAACAAGCTGGTGTGTTACGCCGAAAGGCGGTTATACCGGCTATACAGGTACAGATACAACAGACGAAAATCAATGCGGATGTCATCCATAAATTTGAATCAGTGTGGCCTGGAGTGGGGGAAAGAGGAAGAGACTCACCAGTAGAAGAACCAATCGCTCCGATCAGAACAGAGGGGATAGCCATGAGCAAACAGCCGAAAGCAGCGACAAACGACAGGATCTGTGCGCGCAGGGCGGAGCTGGAGCTGAGAACTCGCTGGAAGTACACTTGCCAGGGCAGGCCGCCGCAAGACTAGAGAGGGAGGTGTATAAATAAAGAGAGGAGGGAAGTAGAGAAGGAAAAACTTTAGTTTAGGACGACAGAGCAGCCACCCAGTGTCTGATGGAGATTCCCATTTCAGAAATTCCGTCTGTCAGCAGATGCACAATGCACAGATCCTGACTGTCCATCACAAACAGTAGTTCAACCAATGATAGCATGTCGTTCTGTGATTCAACCAATGAGAGAGTGGCTGCATGTCCGTCAAATATTTGCATTTTTACGTTTTTTAAGAAAGCGGGAGGACCTATGGGACCGGCTCATTGGTAAAAGTAATGTACAATCAACAGGGCTGCGATGTCCGTCTCCTTCAGGGGACGACATATTGGCTGTGTCTGAGGTTAGCTACATATTCTGACCCAAAAGGCAAAAAGTACACAAACTGTTGGTGTTTCAAAAGCCTCACCAATAGCAGGGCTTAGTCTATCCACACCCCAGATTTACGTAGTTTCCATTCTGCCAAGGATATCGTCATTGGACGTGTCTATGACTAGCTATATCTGACCCAATAGGAAAACACTACACAATAGCTCACCAATAGCAGGACGTAGTCTAGCCTAAAACCTCACCAATAGCAGAGCGTAGTCTATCCAGACGCCGGTGTAGGTGGTGTCCCACGTCCCGTACCAGCCCGCCGTCTCTGTCTGGTTGAAGGTTCTGTTGTACACGGAGGCGTTCACAGGCGTGTACAGGAGCCGGGTCTCGGTGGTGGTCCCGATTTCCGACACCAGGGGGTTCGTCAGGGCGAAGGGGATGGAGATCCACTGTGGGGGAGAGAAGACAGAATAACCATTGAACCAAAGAAGCCATGTGACAAGTCTCACTGAGTCAGTCTACTGAGGAAGACCACATTGACTCGTCGAAAGCTCTAGGTGAGAGATTTTCTTTGTGTTGGGTCAATGGTTTTAACAAGAAAACTAGAGTTCCCCGATCTCATACCTTCGCCAAATGATGTTAATCTTTATGGCTGACAAATAATAGATTATTCCCCCTGCTTGTGCAAATAGGATCCTCATTTTCATGAATTATATCAGTTTATCATATTCTCAACCAAAAGACAGTCTTATATTAACAAACAATGCCATTCTAGTATTTCCTCATAAATTATGCAAATGAGGTCCTGATTTGGATACATTATGTTTAATGATGTTCACCTTCACTGTACTTTCAAAGACCATAAGTATGAAATTCCAGGCAGTTATCATTACAGAATTATAACATTTTCTCATTAATTATGCAAATTAAGTCTTCATTTACATAATCAATATCTGCCTGTGTTTATCTCGTTCTCAATTACCAATGCCACAAGCTTCAATAGTCCTATGATGGAATGCAGCTGATTTATAGAATTTCTCCATAAATTATGCAAATTACATCCATATTTGCATAATTGTCACATAATTATATTAAGCATCATGTAAGCTACCTGCATACCAAAAATCACGACGATCCGTCAACCGGTTCTTGAGTTATTCTCTTTTGAATATATTCAAATAGATAGCCCAGCAGTTCCAGAGCAAGCCGCTAGGGGGCCCAAACTCACGTCACTTCTTTCCCAGCACAAGAGCTACGTGCCATCCGAATTTCGTCACCCTAGCATGTCTAGATCATGAGATATAAAAACCGGAAGTTCAGCTGCAGTACCGTAACAAGCTGCTAGGGGGCCCAAAATCTAATCATTTTGAGGTCTCATTAAGACCTACCCACCTACCAAGACAATCCATCAAGGCTTTCTCAAGTTATCGTGTTTACAGACAGACAGACAGACACACACACACACACACACACACACATACACGAACGCCTCTGAAAACATAACCTTCTTGGCGAAGGTAATAAGTCGGATTTATAAGATATTCACTTAACCAATGACACGGAAATATTTGAGTGGCAGAGTTGTAGGTTCGTGTATCTGCTACCTTCGATTGCATGGTGGGTGGAAGATGATTTTGACAGTTGATTGATAGGGAGGTCAATCCTGAAGGTGACCCAGCACGCGCCGGGCGGAGGTAAGTGGGCGTTATTTGGAGGAATTCAGGAAGTGGTGTAATACACGAGTAAATTCCATCATGCAATCCCCCCTTGCTAGTGTGGTTATCAGATATGTACTTACCAGTCCAAGAAATATGCAAATGAGCTGTATGACGTCAGTATACGCCACGGAGTACAGCCCTCCAAATAAGGTATAGAACACGGCAATGGCGGCCGAGACGATCACAGCAGTGTTGATCTCAAGTTCAAGCACAACTTTCAGCGTCGCGCCTAGATTTAAAGAAAATGGTTGTTTTATCTCATTTTTATTCTTTGAAGCATATTGCCCAATGTCACGCTGTGTTTTTTGGAATATTTCACAACTTTCTGCTATCAGGACCTACCCAACCATTTCTTGCACCATTTTTCGTAAAATACGTGTATGGATTCATTAGGACTTTAAACTTTATCTTTTTGATATCTTCTGTCTCGCCTTTACCTAGAGCTTCTCTTGTAACTTCAATGAAAAGTGTCCTGCAGGCCGATTTTTGTGTTTCTCAAATCTCATGAATAAAGAATGCTTCGAACAAACAAACAAACGACACACTTCAGAGAAACCATGTGACAAGTCTCACTGGGTCAGTCTACTGAGGAAGACCAGAGTGACTGGTCGAAAACACTAGGTTAATTTCTTTGTGTTGGATCAAAAGTTTTAACAAACAAACAAAGAAACAAACAGACCCAGAGCGGACAAGATGGCTGCGGACCAGAAGACTTCCCCTAGCAGAGCGGGGATGAAGAGCAGCCCGCCCATCCTGTCTCCGTACCGCCGCTGGAACGGGTCCAACATCGTCACATAGCCGGCAGCTCGCATCTTCTTCGCGAAGAAAAGTCCTCCTGTGTAGACAGGGGCATTCAGATCAGACAAATTTTTAGAGGAGAGGTGCTCCCAAATCGGCCCTCAAGAAAATCAGCGAATTTTTGTTTTAAAATACTAAGAGGAAGCCCTAAATTTGAACCTTTTGGGAGAGGTGCTAAGATTTTGTAGAGAGGGGTAGCACCCTTGCTTCATTGCTTGGAAACAGCCCTGGATACTAGTGCTTGATGGCATACTACCTGGGCCGTGATATGGCCGTTCCAGTCTGTGTGATCACTAGCGGTATCACACTGGGTTCTATTTGGTTATCACACGGGCTTCCAGGAGTTCCATAAAATAATTCGATGCGTTTCGCCTCAGCTGCGAGCGCCGCGTTCAAAGTTTTGTTTTTGGATTGTCCATTTAATTGGAAAAAAACATTAGTTATATCTAAAACCAGATGGGTGTTAAACTAAACTAGATACTGTTGTTCAGCCTGCTGTTGTTGTTAATTGATAATTATTGGATAGTGATCTCTTTGTGTCTGTATGTTATCAGTGTGTGAATAGACTTTACTTCCCCCTGTACTGTTGCTTTGCAGCAATATCGGTACGAGTCGGGGACTTTAGTTGAATGCTGTTCACGGACTTACCTATAACGAGACTGATGGCATATCCAAACGGCGCCTGACACCAGATGAACCCCTGCGCAGGGTCAAAGATCACTTCCGCTGTTCCGTTTATATAGCCTCCTCCCACCCACGTTGCTGGGGGAAAAGAGACAATCATTATGCAACAATTTCTTCTGTCTGTTGCTGAAGGTTTGATAGACATCAAGGTAAACAATATTCAAAGACAACGATTAAAAGTTATCACTCCTTTGGAAACTTCGGCGACTAGAGCGGTCTGGTTAGGTCTGGTTGTCCTCGGATGCTGACGTCACTCCCTACGTCACAAGATGGAAGATGAATCTGTTTCATCTCGCGGGTTTGTCAATTATTACTGAGGTAATAACGCGGAGACGCCGGGCGTTCCGGGAATGTAATCACGACCCTTCCACATTCCAGGAAAATTGATTGGAACGGGCCAAATCGAAACAACCTCCGACCAAATTCTCAACAATTTTACTGATTCATTTTGAAAGTTAAACGGATTTGGATGACCATGACAAAAGTCTCCAAAAATATTGGAATGATACACAATAAATTGTAAAGCAGGTTACTTTTAAAAATAGCCGAATTCCAGGAAAATTGATTGGAACGGGCGAAATCGAAACAACCCCAGAGACCAGATAAGAATTTCACTAATTCAATTTGAATGTTAAACGGATTTGGATGACGATGACAAGTTTCCAAAAATATTGGAATGATACACAATTCTTATAAATAAATTGTAAAGCAGGTTACTTTTAGAAATAGCCGAATTCCCGGACAATTAATTGGAACGGGCAAAATTGAAACAACCCGATGGAGGGTCAAGATAAGAGGAATTCTACTGATTTAATTTTGAATGTTAAACGGATTTAGATGACCATGACAAGTTTCCAAAATATTGGAAAACTGCAGAATACGTCTTCATTCTGAACAGGGTTAACTTTTAGGACTGACACCCATAAATTGCAATCTGAAGGACCGGCTTCTTGTCCAAAAGAAATATTCCAGCAACGACAAACGAAGCTCTGCTGGTGTGAAAATATGTCAAATGAAGGACTATAAGTAGCAGACAATAAATAACATAACACAATTCTAAGAAATACTTAGTAACTGTAAGTTCTTAAAGAAATAGATAACATGACATTTCTTATGAATACATGGTCGTTGGCTGGCTTCTATCCCGCCTGGAAAACTGAGGCCATACTAGTACTTTCTCGGAGGCACGTTGGCCCTGTTGGTATGGTTTATTACAGTCAATCGGTGCCAAGTTCAGCCGATCGCGAAAATTCAACCTCCGGGGAGTTTAACTGTTTGGCCATGCATAGCTCTTCATTGAAAGCCTGTAAATGAGATTTTAGCGAGTATTTTGATTACTAGTAGCTGGTTGCACTGAGATCATCCTTTGTAATTTGATTTCCAGAAATTAAAGCTGGTTTCATTGTCGATGGAAATTTTAATGGCTGCCATATCGTGGGCGTTCGTGACGTCACGTATACGCACTTTCAATCCATTACCGGAACTGGAGCTATTTCCGTTACAATAATCAATCCAATTGACTTATTCTTTCAGTAACTTGAAAATTGATAGGAAAGTCACTCATGCTCAGGAGATCAGGACGGTGGGCGGTATCGACTTCGGGGCTCCTCTGACGTCACGTTTCCGGAAGTGACGTAAGTTATAATAAAGAAGTTTATATAATGGAACAGACAGGGTCATGGGGTAGTCACGGGTTTGGAGGGATGCCACAAAGACTTCGCCAGAGGTTTTCGAAATTCCCAGTTGTTCAAATTATTAAATGGGAGAAGCTTGGATTGTGATTAAGGATTTACTAGTATTCAACAAATACATGCAAAGGGGGCGACTGTTTAAATGAAGGACTTAAGCTTGTCACAAGAGACGGAACGGCAACATCAAAGGTCACGAGGATGACCTTGCAATGTTCTATTACGTGTAACTGTTATCGTCTGTCATTGGCTGAACAAAACCACTAAATTGCAATTAGATGTAGGATCAGAAAGAGATGTGCACAGTCCCTCAGTCAAAACCTTGGACTCAAACTTGATTAAATACACACCACAATTTCCGTTCCGTAAGCCGTACAGCTACAGAGTTATTGCCAATGATGTTGTAAGTTCAAGGTAATGTCACGCATGAAGTCTCGTGATTTCTCGTGGGATTTGGGCTCCTTTCATCCCTTGTATACTAGTATCCCCCTTTCATAGTGGGAGCGGTGCTAAGAAGGAAATACATTTTTCTCACTGAAGGACAAACATTTAATCACTCAATTTTTTGGAGGTGAGGCTGTAACTCCCCTACTCTGAGTAGATTAATTTTCCTCATATTTTCATTAAGATTATTATAAACATAATTGACAGTGAGGAAGACAGATAGAGTAGCATTATCTCATTGACCTTTTTCTTAATCAGGTCAAAACATGTGATTGATGCACTCCAGAAGTCACTTTGGGACCCCAACAGATTTTAAAAACTGATGACACTGATTTAGATACAAGATAAGGAAATCGTGAGTACGGAAGTATTGTTTTGGGTGGCGGAGATGCGTGTTTATGTATCTGTATGTCCTGACAGGTTGTAGGTTGACAGCACGTGTCTGGGGGAAGGAAGATTGACAGGCAGAATGACAGGGAGGCTTTTTAATAACAGCATTTAGACGTTTACATTAGCAATTCTACTAAACATCCACGGCTTTCAAGATACCGTGACTAATATATAAAAGACTTGCAGTTGTCACATGTAGATTGGATATTGAGGTTCACTTCCCAGCTTAACCTCCAATATTTATAAGCTTTCTGGTAGCTTTTCACGTCCTAACGTATTGACTTAATTGCATATCCTGACGGGTGTGTTATGTATACGCATTACTGTGCGATCTCTACTAGAAACATCGTGAACCGAGGATTAGGCAAAGAGATAGATATACCCCGCGTAGAGTCTTTTCTTGGGTGCACCTAAGAAAAGTACATGATACAATCTCAAGACGCTGCTTCTACCAATCATGTATTATCCACCCACGCGTTCTTCTGAAGGCCGGCGAATGGCTTGACGCCAGGTTTAGTTGTAGTAATTTCATTCAAAGTGCAGATCTTACATCAGCTTTGCAATGTCCTTAAACACCCTTCCAGGCAGCGCAGAAATGATCCATTTTCAAGTTCAAGTCAACACACACTGCTTAGTCGTTGGGCAGTGAAAAACTGCGCAAAAATCACCTACATACTTTACTGTATCAAAGCTTAAAATAAACAGTCGTCGAAGCAGTTTCAAGGTTAATCTAGCTACTAGAGATTTACCTACGACAACATTATAATAATGGCACTGCTTGTATTAATAATTAAAGTGTAATAATCAAAGATCTAAGTCATCTGAGTTCAACAGTCTGAAATCCAGCCTTCTTCAGCAGTGAAAAACTGCACTTTTTGTTCAGTTGTTCAGTTAACGTAACTGCGCAAAAATCACCTCCATACGTTACTGTATTAAAGCTTAAAATAGACAGGCGCCAGGCGCCGTTTCAAGGTTAATCTAGCTACTAAAGATTTACCTACGACAACATTATAATAACGGCACTGCTGTATTAATAATTAAAGTGTAATAATCAAAGATCTAAGTCATCTAAGTCCAACAGCCGTCGCTCCCCTGACAGTTGAAGAGACCTTGGAAGACCGGCCAGAGGTCGAGGCCAGCGTAAGGTTACATATCAAGTCAACCGAAACCTACGCACTTGGAATCCAGGCTTGGAATCCATGTACATGTATGCTGTGAATGAATTCCTGTTGTTTTTTACCAAACGTGGGCGGACACCTGATACAGTAGGCTTTCCCCAATAATGCTCAAGGCCACATTTCCTAGCCTGGTATCCAGCCTTGTTAGCTTTAGTCCGCTACCCAAGATCCGCTCCCCGTGGGTAGCGGACTAAAGCTAACAAGGCTGGATACCAGGCTACACATTTCCAAATCTAGTGCCCGGTCGGGCAGTTTGCAGGGACGAAGAGTTTGATATAAAAGTCAACAAAAAAACAAAAAGTCGACAAATTGTAACTTATAACTTATGTGAGCACTATTTCATCCATTCATGTACCTATTAGTACAATTCTTCTTATGAATTGTTTGATCAGTATTTTTCGTACACGCAAACAGGCCAGCTCGAAGCACTTCGCCCGCCTATCTAAATCTAATGTCTCTAAATTATGGCGCGATACTAGTCTGGCTCCCAGGGTAGACCTGTCAGTGTGTGATCCTGTGTTTTGGATCTGGCTACACAAAAGTCACAAAAGGGTATAGAGAAAGATATACTCATAAAATTCTCGCACAAGAAAAGAAGAAGAAAGAAAATCCGCCGTACCTGTCATGGTGAACATGCCGACCACCAGCCCGATATCCCGTCCCGCCAGCATGACATCCTCGCTCTCCGGACCGTCCGGGTTCTTCTTGGCCCCCCTTCGGGCCGCCCACAGCCCGATGCCGAGGATCAGCAGGTAGAAGATCACGATGGCGATGATGCCTGGTATGTTCACAGCCATGGCCGGTACTGATGTACTGTAGTCGTCGTCGTTGTTGCCGTTGCTATTTTCCCGCTAGATGTGGTCTCTTGGTGCCTCTCTCTGCTTGGTGCTTTGTTTCTTCTAGCTGCTCTGGTGCTTGTGCTCTGATGATATAGTCCTCTAGCCTGAGTGTCAGCCTTTTTCTTCAGCGTTCACCCAACAGCACGAAGCAGGCAACCCTCCACTCATCAACCCGAGGTTTGTTTACAGTATGTTGGAGACGCCACAAGTTGACCTCTTCCCCGATGTAGTGCAGACACGAACAAGGTAAAAGATGATCTCCTGATATATTTCTCCGGTAGGGTCAACTTGTCACCGATGTCGTTCGACCTGGAACAAAATACAAGCAGTTCAGACTGAGGGTTTCCGTGACTTCCTTCGTGCAGTTTGTAGTGGCACGGATTCAAGAGGGTGCAACTTAGACCCGCCCTTCTGTGGGCTTCAGAAGGGGTTACTGCTACACCTCTCGTTGAGTAAATTACTTCTAAAACAAGAAACTACCCCCATACCCAGCTGATAAAATATATTTGTCTTGACTGGTACCGCAAAAGGACTATTGAAAGCATATTTTGTGTTCGGTAAACGGATAAAACAAGGAAACAAAACGTGAAAAAAGGAATCAAACAACCCACATACTGACCGTAACGTCTCAAAACTTTCCGAAGTGGGTCAGACTCCTGTGTTTAATTACGCAGGAGATTTTCGCGGGTTTGACACCCTCAGCGGGACCGAGATGAAATCTTGAAGGATTCTGACACGCCAAAAGATTCCGCTGAAATCTGATCTGCCAAGAAATCGCGCTCCTTGCCGGGCCAAGAAAAACATCGGCTGAAGGATTTTCCTGATATTTACCAAGGTTCGGACCCCTGGTAGACTTACTTGACATCTAGACATGTAGTTATCCAAATAGCCTCCATAGCATAAAACCGGGGGGTTGGGGGTCTTCAGTGTCTTTGGGAGCTTTTTATAATTTTTACTACTAAAATCAAAGAACCCACATATTATAGAAGAAGTGGGTAAATTCGTCTTCCACTGCCTAAAAAGAAGAAGTCAAACCCAGTAAAACTAGTGTCATGTCATGTTGTAGAATATAGTATAATGTTAGAAGTAGATATAGTCTCACATACCACTGTACTTTCTTTCTATGTTGTTTGTAACTGCAATTAGCCTTCGGGCAAGTATTTGCAATAAACTTTCATTATAATATGTGCTATTTTCTGATTGCATATATAGACAACATAGCCGGCCTGGTTGAACCTTGAATTAACCCGGGGCGTATAACGGTATATGATATATATCATATAGAAGTGGGCTAATCAGAAAACAGCCGAAGACCACCAAACCCCCAGTTCTATGCTACGTAGGCTAATATTTACCCAGGTTCGGACCCCTTGGTAGACTGACTTGACATATCGACATCTGAGTCAACCAAGGCCGTAAGTGTGATACGAGCTACTTAATAAACAATGCTAGAACTTATCAACAGCTCTGAACGACTGTAAATCTTGAAACTTTCTCGGTAGTGTTATTTTCGAAGATTTCGCAATGATGCGAAATCATAGTAATATCGTGAATATGTGTTTTAAATAAGTTATGCTGTACTGATAGAGAATAGAATTGCTTCAACCGCACTCTTCTGTTAACTATTAAGCTCTCTTTTTACGTTCTACCGAAAATAAAAGAAACCGTGAGGGTAAAAAAAGCATTTACAGTATTGTTTTAGGTCAGCTGGCTGGAGTACAGCCAAAGCTTTTAAACAAGTCAAAGGTTATGCCCTAAGGTCTAACATGTAAAGTTCGTAACTGATAGGGTCAGACCCCAACACACCAGGGCGCGTACCCTAAACTCCTATCTACTAGTAGATAAGCGTCTTGGCAGATTGTTTATCTGTTTGAGGTCAAGGTTTCGACCTCATAACAGCCACACAAGACCGGCCTTGTAACACGGCAGCAGCGCGTGTTTTGATGTTAAATATTTATTCACAAATTCGTACCCAAAGCTATAAACTGCAAGGCAAGGTTAGGCTATTTATCTTATATTTTGCGGGGCTAATCAACCCCTGTCGTGCAAAACTCCTACCGGTGTAACACTCCTACCGGGCAGTCTGTTGAGCTGGACGGGGGGAAACTATTAAAGCCCCGAAGACAGCCTGCCGCAAACAAAGTAGACTGGATACCAGGCTAGAACTCAAAGTCCTAGCAGAACTAGAAATATGTTGAGTAGATGGTAGAAACTAAATATCTTTCCAAGATAAAAGATTGGCGACAAATCACAGAGGTCATTGACCCCCCCCCCCCATGTTGTCCTAGTTACTGGTTAGTTGACCCGTGTTCACCTGAACCATTCCTACACAGTTGGATTTTAAAGTGGTTTGGGGGCACCCTAGCGAGAGGTGTTCCTCTTCTGTCAATCAAAGTGTTACCTTGGAAACGGTGGCACCTGTTACACCCAAGAGGCAAAACATGTTTCCGTTGGTCTACTGGATGATTAGTTAGTTGTTCATCAGTTATTAAAATGAAGGTAAAATTGAATAAACGTCCGTGGTTTTCTTTTCGACAAGTATACCCCCTACACAGTACACACAATGGTATATCTTTAGCGGATCCAAACGCTTAGAGACTACAAAGCATGTACCAATGTAAAATTTCAACCGAATCCCATTCTAGAGGGATTTAAAACGAAATAAAGAAATCCTTCGTGTGTATGAGAGGCGTGGTGCGCCCTGACCTTGGTGCTGAAAGCGTGATCACACCACGTGGAGTAGGCGTCTGTATGAAAACGGAATCAATATCGACCCGACATGCCGGGATATTACACTTGTAGGAGGGTGAAGAGTAGCCTGTATGCCAGACACATAAGCTAGGCCCAGAAGTAACCAGTGTGCCTGTGGAACAGGGCCTAATTGAGGGGCTATGGTATAACTTCATCGGGGGCACGTTGGCCCTGGAGCCGAGGAGCTGGCCACGGAATCAGCCTGGAACCCCGGCTACGTGAAAAGTAACTATCGAGGTAGCCATTCTCCACAGGCCGACTTAGGGTGCTTTAGAGGCCCCATGAGCTTAGCTTTAGGACCAATATCTGACAGCTTACCTTTACATTCGGCCATTCTTTCTGACAGCCTATCTTTCCAGCCCACCTTTGTAATATGAGTGCAACATGTAGGCAAGTTAACTGAACCGACCCCGTAAAAAATACCGGCTTACGCTAATGTTCCTGGACGGGCGGTCAACATTCCCAACACCGTTAAGATACAGTGGAGCCTACGATGGTACGTGCATAAAGGCTACCAGGCTGAGAGTAACAAGTGTTAATGAATGACACCATCCGCAAAGCCACGTGAGCTATAGACCTGTCGTTTCCCCATATACGGGGGACTGGCTACCTAACACTACTGCGTACCCAAGCACGGAAACATAGGTTGTCTGTGCCGCCAAACACTTGTTGGAAATACGGTGATTTTACCATGTTAACTGTTCGTAGACAAGAGAGAGCAACAGCTATCTGTGATTTTGATGAAGACATTTTAGACACACGAATAACACCGAGGGAACTCCACTGTAAACGACAAATTAAAAACCCATTTCGAAGATATCTATTCGCCGGGCTCAACAAAACAGACCAAGTAAAATTTTGAAATCGTCAATATGAATACAAGATTTAAATATCGTAAATGCGTTTTGATCATTACAATGTAACACTACCATGAAATTACTTGGCTTGGACGTTGTCCAAAATGCCCCACAGTTTCAAACAAATCAAAAACGCTTAAAGGTGCCAAACCCTACCTGGGCCTAGCTCAGTAAATGAACCTACCTTAGCTGAAGCGATCTCCACCCTTGTGAGAAATACTAGGAGTAGAGCATCTTTGTCACCACCTTTATATGACGCGATATGACAGTACGGGGGACGGGGTGTATGAATGAACACCTGCTCGCCCCTACCGCATGACCACCCCCACGTCACGAATGTAGCGGTCCCACGTCACAGCGCCCACACACAATACATGCAAATGTAATTTGCGCTGACATTGAGTCGTCATTTGGCGATTCAGGGTCGTTGTTGGACAGGATACCGGGGTTAGTTAGGGAAGAGTGGGGTGGGGCCGTGCGTAAATCCAATACCCACGTCTAAATCATGTTTCACAAAACTTAACGAGGACCGTGTGACCATCAGGTGGTCTGGTGGTTAGGGTTGTTGACTCAGAATAAGTTCTGGCCCAGAACCTTCGAACCCAGAATAAGGTTCGAGGTTCGAACCCAGAATTCGAACCCAGAATAAGGTTCGAGGTTCGAACCCAGAATTCGAACCCAGAATCAGGTTCGAGGTTCGAACCTGAACCAGAATTCGAACTCGGAATTCGAACGCAGAATCTGGGTTCGAATTCCTGGCAGGCGCCCATGTTGTATCCTTGGGAAAGGCACTTAGCACGTATACTTATATTCGCTCTTTTTTTCGTAACGATATCACCGGTTGTTACCCCGACAACTTCATGTAGGTTCTCAACCAGCTCTGATTTCAAACCGGAACTAATTTGTCAATGAGCCATTCTCAGAACTCCCTCCTGACCGTCATTATAATTTGATTAGCCGTACTCTGGTATCCCATCACTGACTAAGGCCACACTAGCTTCGATATATGGATGACATCCACGCGCGCATCAATTTTCGTCCGTTTTCAAAACAGGAAATAGCTGATTGGTTGGCATGAGTGTGATGACGATGTGTGACTGGTCACCTTGGTGACTTGAATTTGGACTAATTCTGATAAGACTGGACTTTACATAATAGATGCGCAATATATCTTGAGCTCTTTCTAACGAAGAAGAGATATTTGTAATAGTTTATTTGAGGAAGAAAATGCCAGACGAAGGGACCCCAGGCTCGAATGACCACTTGCTTGCAACACCAAGTCTTCCAGAGTCAAAGAAAATGTGAAAAAAAACTAAAGTAAAGAATGTTTGTTATACAATATGTTATGTGAGTTCAGTCATGTATTTAGCATTCTTGACCACATAGATTTTATGATGAAGGCACATTTTTGTCGCTGTTTTTTCGCACACTCGCATCAGTTTTGTGATGCTCAGAGGATGTCATCCATACAATCAAATCAGTATGGCCTAATTGCTAACGTACTTTCCGATGATGTCCGACAACAGGGGGAGGGGCACTCCGACATTTAGGAAGGTCGTGAGACCAGGTTGTTTTTAAATGTACAATAATTTTGTAGAGTACAGAATACATTACAAAACGCATGGGAATAGCGATATTCAATAACGAAAAGTTAAACGAAGCAGTGTTAAATAAAGGTAGCCTCTACCAGGCTTGAGGGCGCGGCTGGAAATAGTAGAAATTGGCCAAATAGAGAGATAACACGCCGAGGGAGTTTAGCCATTCAGTTTACAGTTTGCCGGCCCCTCAAGCCTGGTAGAGGCTATGTTAAAGGCATCCAATGCACATTCAGGGCTGCAATACAAAAATATTCTGGATAAAGAAATTTATCTGATATTGAAATTTACTGCCATTTTTTAGAAATCTCCATTTTTTTCTTGTTATTCTTTTTTACTTTCATTTGACGTCATTTTTGGCCTTTATTCCTCTCCGGAAACCATGTGACGTAAGTATGTATCGCTGATTACAGTTAGGGTTCAATAAAAATCGTGACCGTGCAATTGTTTCCGTTTCAAAGTCATGCAAAGTCACGAACCCTTCCTTACTTCATTAGTGAAACCGTTTTGTCGGGATTAAATACAATCTATCTACTCTCTGACCCTCTACCCTTGACTGATCGTTGCTTTGGGACTCCCTTTTACCTGGAAAAACCTGTACAACAATATATAATGGTGTCGAAGTGACGCCTTGCATGACAAGAATGTACTACAGGCACTGTTGAATGAACTTAAAGCTTCCCAATACGTGTCACAGATATAGACTGGGAGCTTTTCAAGATGTCCAACTTAACTCCAAAACTCCAAAGTTTTTTTTTTGTCTTCTGTATTTCTTATATACGGTTATATACAACACTTCGTATGTGGCACGCACTGAATTGCGAACTCTATAGGACTGTTCCTATTTCTATGTCTATTTGTAACTCAACACTCCTATCCTACCCTACAGGTCAAACAACAAGGGGACTCGCGTGAAACACAGCACGTACTGAACACGAACTGTATTCCCTTTTATACCCTAATCCAATACAGTCTAACATAAGGTTCGAAATACATTTTTCTGCATAGCTGCACTGTTCGGTGCAGCTCCAATTCTACATGCACTAACCTGTGTAAAGTTAGTAGGTGGTATTTCAAGACTTGCTAACAGTACACACCAAAGCAAAATGATCCCCTTGTTTGTGTGACACTAGTACCTGTGGGCAGATGGAGTGTTCTGTTACTCGCCAAACATTTTGACAAGTTAAAGACATATACAAGCCCATACATTCTACCAATGTGTGTTTAAACATTAACTAGCTGTACGTGCCAGCTTTATAATGATAGAAGTAACATACAATGAACTTAACTGACGCAGCGAAACAACTCAAAGACTTTTGAATGGTAACATATAACTCTTAAGATTAGGAGTTTGCAAGGAGGTTATAGTTTCAAAGCTTAACGTCAATCTAAATACACCAAGGCAAACTTACCTGAGCAGGACAATGTGTACAGCTACCGAGTTGTAAGCGGGTAAAAACTTAACAAACTAGAGGTCACCTCCTTCCGGTGCGGACATTGTTTTAGAGACAAATCACGACCTTTGACTGCTGTTTGTGTCAACAACAAAGGCTCCTACTGGACTGTACTATTGTGACAAACAGGGGTGTAATGTTTGTCAAGGGTGTAAGTTAGCAGTAGCTCATAAGACTACAATGACTTGACTATACGGATGACATCCGCACACGCATAAATTTTCGCCCGTTTCCCTTCCAGAAAGCGACCATTCCCCATACTGTTTCTTTACGAATTTGGAGGATGACAGAGGTCGAAAAGATATTTTAAGAGGATGCCAGATGAAGGGAAGCAGGTCTCGAAATACCACTTGCTTGCACCTGCAAGTCTTCCCAAAGGCAAACGGGAAATGCAAAAGAACAAAAATAAAAGATTGTATTGTTTGGTACCATGCAAGTTATTTGTACAATCTTCATAGTGGATATTTAATATTTTTTTCGCACGCTCGTAGTTTTCCAAGACCCAGGGGATGTCATCCATGTCATCAAATCTGTATACTAGTAATGGGAATCCAACAGGTGTCAGTCCACGCGTGGCAAGTTACCGCAAACTTAGTAATAGCTTTCTATTCTTTCCAGTAGATTACTGGACAAAAGTCGTCAAACACTCCGTGGTTGAACAAATCGAGCACTTCATGAAATATTCAAGGTAATTATATAATGCCCTTGAAATATTCAAACACTTTAGAAGGCAGGGTCAAGAGGGGCTACGCGTTTGGCGTTTGGATCACATTTTGATGCCACGCCACCATGCGGCCAGCTCGAACAACGACAGGAAGATGTCAGCCTTGAAAACGTCGCCTGCGGACATGACATTCCTCGTGGTCAGAGTGAAAATTTATCAACAAGGGAGATGTTTTTGTATGAGATTAGAACTGACCTTTGTTATTCTTTGCGTTTCTTTGTAAGGGAATTCTATCGGAAGGGTCCTAGCGCAACAAACTGTATGAATTAATGTAATAATGTAATGTAAATATAATAATAACTTGTTGGAAATGTGAACAGTGAAATATTTGCACCAATATATGAGAAGTGGAGCGGAATGATTTTTGATTGACAGAAGAAAGGAGCGACAATTTATCGGACGGTGAGCAAATCAGGGCAAGGACAAACACAAAGATGTGCCAAAATGGCGGCCTTTTGATAGTGTCCCCGTTTTACGATTGATCATCACAATGTCCTTGGATTCACACTCCCCTCCAGTTTTCCCTTTTACATATTCTTATCTGTAGTCAAGCAATTTCACATTTCTTGAGCTTTCAAAGTTCTGTCAAATCCACATAAAGGTCAACTTATACTCCAGCTAGTGTAGACTAGAAAAAGTTTCAAAACTTATAATTAAGTGCAAACCGTACAACACATTATCCTTCTATCCACCTTTAACTTACAGCATGGTCACAGTCGTTGTAAGCAATTATAATGACGTCGGATTTTCAAACAGACTGTGATAGAGCCAAACAGTGCCAACTATCTATGAACCCTGTGACTAGCCACCAAAGGCTAATGGACACTCCTCTGGCCAATATATACTGCCTTGCCACCGTATGGTCTGCCTGGAGATTAAAACCTTGCAGGACGCAACACGACTATATATGAAGAATGCTTCAGTTTGCAATCGTACGACAATCCTGCGACGATCGCAGGACCTTACCTGCACTTCACTGAAATTAAAGCCTTCGCCGACTGCTCTCTCTGATTCCCGACCAGATCTTTCTCCGTGTGCCTTCACTAGAAGTTATCCAAAATTTATAGCCACCTTGGACGTCCTTCCGGTACCCTTCTGTTCAGACGAGGCGTGTCTAAAATACTAGTATAATTACAGTGACTCAAACAATACAAATACCTGCAGGACATGACAGTGTGTTTGAATCATGTTGTGACTGCTCTGTGCTATATGTTGACCTCAGCCAACCCCTCCTGAATCTGACTTTTAAAGACTGATTAACGTTGAGGTTAAGTTGTTCTTGATGAAAAATTTTATCTTCCGTTGTCCTCAATTTGAATGAAATATTAGAATATGATGATACACATCTTTCAACAACTAATAACTGGCGTCTAACAAAAGTAAACGAATTTATGAGTGAAACAAATGAGGAGGATATTTTAGTTTTAGTCGATTTCTCCGGCATAAGGCCACATTGACTTGACCGTCAGTGTATCGAGGAAGTGTATCTTCTATTCTAAGACATCAATTTTTGTCAAGGATTTTTGTCCGTTTTCAAAGAAAATGTTTAATAGAAACTCTTTGTAGGCACTTTGAAGATGACACAGGGCTAAATCCATTTTTTTCGCACGCTCGCATCAGTTTTGGGATGCCCAAAGATGTCATCCATATGATCAAATCAGTTCGGCCTCACTACGTCACAAACTTGACCGGGAGTAACCTTTGGTAAACAGGGGGCGTACCATCATCATCATCATCATGGCTGCCATCGTCGACCACGAATTCCCGATTCACGGTCTCCTACCGAAAAGAGAGACCGGCGCCGCGGCTTTCCTCGCCAAATATCCCGAGTACGACGGCAGGGGAGTTACTATAGCTATCCTGGACACGGGGGTGGACCCTGGAGCTCCTGGTTTGCAGGTAAGTGCCGTAGGAGTTGACTTTGTTTCGCGTGGGGAGGGGGGCATAGTTTTACGTGTAGATCTTTTCTTGTTTGTCATCCTCGAATGATGTGAAGCATGATGATTTTCAAGTAGCTGCTAGTGCAGTGCGGTGTCGCTACGGTTCAAGTATTTAGCTAAGCACACAGGGTCACCCCTACTTGTCTCCATATAAGTGTGCTGGGTTCTTTTACGTGCAGAGGTTTTACACCCAAAGCTTCCTGATACGTACACGGGGCCACCGGCTTCACGTTACAGTTCGACGCGACTGTCATTTAAATGAAAGGAGATAAAATCTCATGAAGACAACGTAGACAAGTATGGAACTGAATTCATTGAGCCAACAATTGAAAGATTCAAGCTTTTACAGAAATGTCATAATATTTTTGTTTTGAAAATGTATGGCGGTTCACTGTGCCAAGTTGCCAACATAGATAATTTGAGTCTATTGTGTTTGCTTGAATGAGTCAGCAATCCTCTGTACATAGAAGATAAGTACAAAGCCTTGCCAGCCACATCATCACTGAGAAATTACACATACAATGTGGTATGAGTTCAAGGATTTCGAGAGGCCTGCATGGGGGGATCCTGGCAACAACAAAGTCGAATGACAAATTGCCCAAAAGTCACAATGGAGCACCTGTGGTTCTATATCTGCATAGCCAGTATAACTGCCCTTTGGTATAACACACCAGCCGTTGTGTCAGTGTTTGCAGACTAATTTTGCAAGACATCCCATAAATATAAACCTGGGACAGTCCACTGAACTTCCCAAAACCCCAAGCACAGTTTAATATACTGTTGTTGCCACTTCTTGTAAATACTAAATTTACCATTAAGTGTCCCCCATGCAGGTCCTCCTAAATTTTTCAAAAAACCCCATGATATAAAGGATGTGATTGGTTGTTGTTGAAGATCTTACTTTTGATTGACAGCACACCTCTGATTGGAGGCCAAAGATTAAAGTGTCCCCCCCCATGCAGACTCTCTTAATTTTTTCAAAAGACCTGTGATTGTCATAATTATCAAAGCTATAAAGGATCTGATTGGTGGTTGTTGAAGAGCTTCTTTTTGATTGACAGCACACCTCTGACGGGAGGCCAAAGATCGTGGACATCATCGACACCACGGGAAGCGGGGATGTGGATGTGTCGACTGTCGTGGAGCCAAAAGACGGAGAAATCGCGGGTCTGTCAGGAAGAACCCTTAAGGTAAGGACCTTTTAAGAGAAGGACCTTTAACTTAAGCAGTTTTAGCTCACTGAAGAGCTACTCTTCCACTAGTTGTGACAATAGAAGACAGACACTATCAGGGTTCGAAATACTTTTTTTCAGGTACGTGCAAAATTGCACATTGGCAAAATTTTTAGGTGCAATTTGAAAAATTTATGTGCAAAATTATATTTAGCCTTGCATCTTTAGGTTTGGAACTGTTTAACTGTGTATCAACCTTCTTAGCCTGCCACTGCATATAGAAGTTTTAGTATACATTAAAAAGAAGGGACCAAACAAAACATGAACAATGCAAGTATCATCTGTGTTTATAAGAAAAAAGAACACAAAAAAAAATTTGTCGGCATTAGCTTCAAAGGACGCCGCTAGTGACCCCCGGCCCTCTCACTCGTCATAAAAAAAATTTACCAACAGTATGCAAGCAATAAATTTCATTTATTTTGCATATTTGTTTACCTTGAATATCGTGCACGATATAAGGAAAAAAATACTGCTTAGAAAAAAATAACGTCCGGTTTATTTTTGCTTCTTGGCGCTCCCCTCCCCCTCCTCTGGGGGCGCGTCGTCAACATCGGCCGCGGGATCCTCGGAGACGGTGGACCCGGTGGCATCTCCCGATCCACCGCCCCCGGCTGCACCAGCCTCTGGTCCACCGCCACCGGCTGCCCCAGCCTCTGATGCCGGCTGGGCCCGTGAAAAGAACTTGAAAATCGACCCCTTCTTCATGGGCCCTTCTTCATGCTTTACAAATTTCCTAGGTAGCACTGAATGCTGGGAAATCCGAAAACTCTGTTTTTCACCGAATTTTACTGAAAATTGGACGAAAAAGCCGAAATTACTCTGCCGAAGGACTTCGTACCACATCGGGCAACAAGTTTCGCGGTCTCACCATATTTGGTAAATTAGCTACGTAGGCCTTCGCGTCTTGCCATATTAGGTAAATCATTACGTAATGCCTTCGCGTCTTCACCTGGGGACGAGAGCAGCTTGTTCCCAGGATGTTCAGTAAAGAAAACAATATGGCTGCCATGCGCCCAGCGCGATGCCGACACAGCAAGAAACTTCGGAGATACGCAGTGCAAACATGATATATCGGTATTGTCCAGGTGCAAAATTGCACATTCAAAATATTTTTAGGTGCAAATCTTGAAAATTACGTGCAATTTGCACATTGCACCTTTGTATTTCGAACTCTGCACTATGTACATAGTATTTACAGGTTCATTGTACCAGTGAAATTTGCCTAGTATTTTTGACAGTGGGCCATAGCTTAACGTCCCATCCAAAGGACTGTGACCCTTTACAATAGTATGCATCGATCTCAGGCGAGTGACAATAGCTGGGATGCTGGATCTGTTTGGAGATTAAATTGTTACTCTCTTAGTACTAGTACTTTGGTAGTCCTTCATAGTTGAAGATGAAGATGACAAATTGTGTTGTTATGTTTTTCTATCCATTAAGATGGATAGAAAAAAGATTGAATGCCAACTGACAGCATGTTTGTTTGTTTGTTTGTTGTGTATCCAGATCCCTGCTAGTTGGGAGAACCCCACCGGCCGTTACCACATCGGGGTGAAGAACATGTACGAACTCTTCCCCAAACAACTCAGAGACAGGACTCAGGTCAGTTTTCTGTGTTCTAACATACAATGTATTTTAACTTTGCAAATCCTTACACAACATGTAGATGTCCTATTTGTAGTTTCAATGGCTTTTGTTTGATTTCAACATGGAATTAGAGGATGTCACTTCACAAGACACACTTAGATTTAGTATTTGTACAGGTGCATGCAACCAAACATTATTTAATTTTCATTATGTAATGAATATGAATTCTAAGTTTTGCTACAAGTCTCATGCATTTTGCAAACACTTCTGCATATGTTTATCCCCTCTATGGTGAAAACTTTTGTTGTCTTCACAATCTACAGATAGATTTTAGAATTATCACATTCATATGTGTCTAAGGCATTGACAACATGTTTTGCAGTCATAAAAATTTGCTCACTAGACTGATTTTTCTTGCACAGAAAGAGAAGAAAGAGAAGACCTGGGACCCTCCCCACAGGGTGGCTCTGGCAGAGGCTACCAGGAAACTGGATGAGTTTGACACGGCACATCCCAACCCTACAGCACAGGTAACATGACTTTGTGATAATATAACATTCAAGTTTGCAAGTGCTCAAAAAGCCAGACACACAAAATAGGGTGAACTTCAGTGTAGGTTGATAGCATGTGGAGGGGAAGTTTGACAGATTGACAGGCAGAATGGCAGGTTAAGCGGTCAGACACAGGAAATTGGGTAGACTTGAAAGTAGGTTGATAGAATGTGGGTGAAGGAGATTGTCAGGCAGAATGGCAGGACATCAAACAATCAGACACAGGAAATGGGGTGAACTTGCAAGTAGGTTGACAGCATGTGGATAGGGAAAGATTGACAGGCAGAATGGCAGGACGTCTAAAAGTCAGACACAGGAAATGCGGTGAACTTGAGCATAGGTTGACAGCATGTGAAGAGGAAAGATTGACAGGCAGAATTACAGGAATTAAAAGGACAGACACAGGGAATGGGGTAAACTGAGAGTAGGTTGACAGCATGTGGGTGGGAAAGATTGACAGAATAACAGGACGTCTAAGATTAGACACAGGAAATGGTGGAAGATTGTCAAAATAAATGACAGGAGATCAAAAGGTTAGAGACAGGAAATGGGGTGAATGTGAAGGTCACAAAAGACTGAAATTCTTCCTGCAAGTCTGACTTGCTGACCCTCAAATGTATGATATTTTTGTTTCTAGGATGAGAAGCTACAGAGAGAAGACCTCCAGGCCCAGGTGGACATCCTGACCAGTCAGGAGAAGAAGTACTCGGACCCTGGACCTGTTTGTGACTGTCTGGTCTGGCATGATGGAAACACTTGGAGGTAAAACTACAAACACTTTCCTTTTTTTTTATTTTCCTTCCACTTTTCCATTTATATCTTGCAAAGTTGCAGCTGTCTGTGAGCAGATATTATAAAATTTATGAACACAGTTCTTTGTTGTTTTTCGTACCTCTGTAAAGGAAGTATTGTTTTTGGTGGTGCTAAATAGCTAGGTTTGTATGTTTGGTTCTCAAAATGAGTGGGTGGAGATTGAGTTTTACTTGATTGACAGGGTTCTGACCAGGTATGCCCTGGGTTAATTGTTCAATGTTCAATGTTGCAAGGAATGTATGAAGCACGAAAACACGTGTTCAACACATTAGACACAATGCTTCACTTTCTTTCAAGGGCTGTACTAGACACGAGTGAGTCAGGAGACCTGGAGTCCTGTACTGTACTGGCCAGCTACAGGGAACATCAGCAGTATGCTACCTTCAGTCAGCTGGACATGTTCAACTACTCTGTCAACATCTATGATGAGGGAAAGGTTCTTAACATCTGTGCCAATGGAGGTAAGCTTCACACAAAAACGACAATAGCAACAATAGTAATAATGATAAGAAATTTTGGATGTCAACATTGCAACAATATCACGTACATGCCTTCTACAAATGTATGTATGTGGAAAATTGTAATAAATAAATAAATCACTGTACAACAACAATAACAACAACGGCAAGAAATTTCAGACCTTTGGGAGTGTTGCAGGATTTTGTGAATTGTGTATTGAAACTGTTGAAGAAATTGTTTATAATAAAGGGTTAATGCCCTGCCCCAAGATGTATATGGTGAGATAATCAGGTGCGATAACCAACAAAAAACACACCAACTGAGCGTAGCACATTTTCATCATTGAAGAGTCTGAAACAAGCTTGTGCATATTATACCTATCCCAGGAGCCCACGGGACCCATGTGGCGTGCATCGCTGCGGGAAACTTCCCCGATGACCCTGAGAGGAACGGGGTCGCGCCGGGAGCACAGATCGTCGCCATCAAGATCGGAGACTCGCGGCTGAGCACCATGGAGACAGGGTCTGCACTCATCAGGGCTGTGAGTCATGGAGTATTACAAATTATGTTGCAACGTGTGAGGTAATGGTCAGAGTGTTTGGCTTAGAACCAAGAGGACCTGGATTCGATCCTCTGACATGCCCCAATGTTGTGCCTTTGGGACACTGCTTTTCTCACTTCGCTCAGGTGAAGATGAGTACCTAGCTTTGGTTAGGGATGTCCCTCAGATACGCCAAAAAGCAGTTACTCAAGCAACTGGATATGATTTTGAAAACGTGAATGCAAATAAGGTGAAGACAAATTTGTCTTCACTTTATTTGCATATCAATCAATAGGTTGTGCTTATAAACCTGCATTTCCCCTCTGGTCTCTCAGTCACTGACGAAAGCTAGTGGATACTAGCTGAAACGTCTGACGTTTTCAAAATCATATCCAGTTGTTTGAGTAACTGCTTTTTGGCGTATCGTATTACCTGGATGTCTAACCTTCATCGACGTGTCCCTCAGATAGGATGCTAAATGTTAAAGAACCCACCATGGAGACTGGGTCTGCACTTATCAGAGTGGTGAGTCACGGAGGCACTACCCGGGCTCAAAATACATTTTTCAGTCACTAGTATTACGGATCAGGAAGAATCAGTTTCAAAGATGCTCAAACTTCCAAGACATATTTTGAGCTTTTGTGACCTTTAGATTCACCACATTTTTTTACCTCCTGTCACTCTGCCTGTCAGTCTAAGTCTTCCCCACCCTGATGCTGTCAACATACTTTCAACCCCATTTACTGTGCCTGATCTTTTGATCTGTCATTCTGCCTGTTGATTTTCCCCCACCATGTGCTGTCAACCTGCTCTGTCCAGACAAGCAGACACACAAGCCCACAGCTGAGCAACCCAATACAATACTTCCACGCCTGAAAGTTTTTGATCCTGAATCGCATGTTGTTTTCTTTGTAGATGATTGCTGTGATAGATCAGAAATGTGATCTGGTGAACTTCAGCTATGGGGAGGCTGCACACTGGCCTGACAAGGGGTAAGTAAAAATCACCTTAAACTTTGTTATCTGATAGTTAACTGATTGGGGCTCCTCCCACAAGCTTTTGCCTAAACACAGTACATCTCTAACTCAAGAGAACCATTCCCAAACTACTAGTCTGTGTAACACTAGTACTAGCCATTCTAATAATCTCTCCCTTGAGGGGCTGATTGGACCTTCTCCAAAAAGCTTGTGGCCATGCATTGTACATCTCTAACTCTTGAGAACTATTCCCAGAAGTTCTTTAAATCTTTTCATCTACGTTGTTCCACTTTTGCTCCCCAGTCGAGTGTGTGACGTCATCTCGGAGGCAGTCAACAAACATCGTGTGATCTTCGTGTCGAGCGCTGGAAACAACGGCCCTGCTCTGACTACTGTAGGCACACCTGGGGGTACTACCTCCAGTATTATTGGTAAGGATCAGTTCACCTAAAAAAAGGGCCATTTTCTTTTTGCAAAGTGCTGTTATTAAGTCATATAAAGTACTGTTATGCACATTGTACATATGATTTTAGCACTCATCTCTTAACCAGTCTGTTTTGGGTGGCTGAGCTGTGGGTTTGTGTGTCAGTTTGTCTGAACAGTGTAGGTTGATAGCACATGGTTAATGGGAAGATAGACATGCAGGAGGCCAAAAGGTTAGGCACAGGAAATGTGGTGAACTTGAATTTAAGGAAAACCCAAAATACTCTCAAGGAAGAAAAGTCATAAATTTCTAATATTTTGATTATGGATAGCTGACAAGCTCAGAATATCAAAAAGTAGAACTTAAAAAGGGAAAAACTTTATTGTGTAGTTCATATACCACTACCTAATAAAACTTCAAATACAACTCTATGTGTATGTACAAAGGTCTCACATGTCAGTTTCCTGGTCTCCCATAGGTGTTGGTGCCTTCGTGTCTCCAGAGATGATGACGGCTGAATACTCTCTCAGGGAAAAACTGCCTAGCAACCAGTACACCTGGTCGTCAAGGGGACCAACGTGAGTAGGGGAAGTTTTCTGTCGACTGTCAACGAAAAAAATTGAGATTGCATACTTCAATTCTTCATAAACTCTTTAAATAAATTAGTGAAAACAAATGTGTAGAATGTACACATGTAGTAGATACATATAACATTAGCTTTGACATAAAAGAATCCATACTAATCAGTAATCATACTGACAGTGTGTAAAACATGCTTTAAACATGCTTTTCTTGAGGTGAACTTTGTTGAACAACCCTTTAACAAGAAAACTGTTACTCAAGCAACTGGACAGATTTGAAAATCTATCCAAATCTTTCAAAATCTATCCAGTTTCTCGAGTAACAGTTTTCAGGTGTATCTTGTTCCCTGGATGTTTAGCCTAAATAGACAACCCTTTAACGACTTCAAATGTCTTCCCTATTACAGTATAGACGGAGCCTTAGGTGTGAGTATTTCTGCACCAGGTGGTGCCATAGCTTCTGTGCCTAACTGGACTCTACGTGGCTCACAGTTAATGAACGGGACTTCCATGTCTTCACCTAACGCTTGTGGGGGCATCGGTGAGTCACTGTAGTCACTGTTACAAACAAACAAATAAACAAGCTGTTGTCAGTAACCACTTCTGTATGTGTACCTTACATCTTTACCAAGAGTTTAGGTAGTGAAGTTAGTATAGCTTTGGGTGGCTGAGGTGTGGGTTTGTGTATCTGTTTGTCCGGACAGAGTAGGTTGACAGCACATGGGTGGGCAGGTTTGACAGGCAGAATGAGAGTAGGTATAAGGTCTTAGAATCTGGCTGAGAGTCAGCATCTATAGATGCCAGCATGTAGAATTTGTAGCATCTAGGCATTTGTTGGACATCGTCCTATATGTAAAATACATGGGATGTCACATGTCAATATGTACTGAAACTTGCTATCTGAATCCATGGATAGAAATCCTGGTAACAGGTAACTATATGTTCCTCCCCAGCTCTGGTCCTGTCTGCCCTGAAGGCGACCGGTGTAGCCTACACCCCCTACACCGTGAAGACTGCCCTGGAGAACACAGCACAGAAGGTGGAGGGGGTGGAGGTCTTCGCTCAGGGACATGGGGTGCTGCAGGTAAGGCTTCAGACAGATGTGTCAAGTTTTCACTAAAAATTCATTGTTTAAATTGTAAACCAGCACAGTATGTTGACTTCATGGCTCCTACCGTAGTATATTGGGCTATAATAGGATACCTAGGCCTTTTTCTCCCTGTCACTTCATATTTTTTATGAAAAAATCAGAGACAGAGTAAAGACAGACTATATAAAGTATGTACAGGTTCATTGTACCGGGCAACTTCCCCTAGCTCTTTACGACAAGCACAGAACAAACGGTGGAGCACAGCTTAACGTTCCATCCTGAGGACTGCAACCCTTGCGTGCATGTTGGGTGAGCGACAACAGCTGGGATTCAAAATCCCAAACTCTTGGTCCACAGGCAGAGACGCTAACTACTGGACAATACCTTCCTTCCCCCAGGTGGAGAAGGCTTTTGATCACCTGCGCCAGCATGCTGACTCTGCAGAGAGGAACGTGAGGTTTTCTGTGGCAGTGAACGGTGGGAGGGGGGTGCACCTGAGACAGGCCCTGTCACAGAGGAAACCTACAGAGATGACCGTCAGTATAGAACCTGTGTATGCTGAGGACATAGGTGAGTTTATAGCTACACTATTTCACACTAGCCTGTATTACACAATTTCTCACTGTCAAGGTCTAATAGGGCCTCCTCTCCAAAAGCTTGAGGCCATATTGTTACATTGACTGGTAATATCTCAGGACAAACTACTAGTATCATAATTATATGGAAAAAGATTGTAAAAACATACAAACAGAGACCTTGAGGCCATATTGTTACATGTGTATTAACTGGTAATAGCTTATAGGACAAAATACTAGTACATGTATCATAATTATGTGGAAAAAGATTCCAAAAACAGCCATTACTAATACATTTGTATATGTCAACTCAGAAGACTGGGAATACTAATAATCAAGAATAATTTAAAAAATTGTCATCTTTCCTAGTTCAGATTCATTTATCTGGGCCACTATTGGCTAATGCCAATGATGTTGTTCTCTTTCCTTATGCTGATTTTCTTATCTGCACCACTATTGGCTGATTCTACTGATTTTCTTCTCTTTCCCCCTGCAGATGCCAATGAGAAGATAGCTCTCTCCATCCATGTGAGCCTTGTGAGTGAGGTTCCGTGGGTACACGTGCCGCCATGTTTGGAACTCATGAACACTCCAAGGACATTTGTCATCAAGGTCGACCCAAGAGGACTCAGGGAAGGAGCTCACTATACTGAGGTATGTATAATCACTTTTTCTTGCTCTTTTGAAAAAAACAATGGCTACTGAATCAACCAGATTTTCATTGGTTGATTTTTGTTGTTTCTGATGTAATACAAAATGTGATTCGTCAATTTTGTTGCTAAGGAAATAAACCAGAATGACATTGGTTAACTGTTGCTGTTGCAGAGGTAATCCTTAATGTGATTGGTCAATTTCGGTTTTATTTAACATCAAACAGTTCCCTAGATTGTGATTGGTTGATCCTTGTATTTTTAAGATATAACCAAGGATATGTCATTTCTACATGTAACGTTATAACGTAGTGAGTGATTGGTCTATTTTGTTCTTTGCTGCCCCCAGGTTTTAGGCTATGACATCAGTAACCCCCATAAAGGCCCCCTGTTCCGAGTACCAGTGACCGTAGTACGACCAGAGACAGTACAGGACAAGGTACAGTACAAGGTGACCTCTGAGAAAGAAGTGACCTTCAAACCAGGACAGGTGCACAGGAGGTTCATCGACGTGCCGCTCGGAGCTACCTGGGCAGGTACGTCTCACATGAATGTTTGCTATTTGCAGCATTTATTCTTTCCATTTTTTTCTCTCGAACCAATGTTTTCTGTTGCAGGGAGTGTTGGCAGAACTTACTGCACCTGGGCAAAACCCGTAATGTATTGTGCATAGCACTTCTGCAGAACATCTCATATAAGGTCATATTCAGGTATATAAGGTTAACGTCCCGTCTGTAGTTTCCAAATTGTATGTCAGAAAAAATATCATCTGCGAAATTCTGATGCAACGTTGGCCAAAAATCCAAAGAAAAACGTGAAAAATCAGGGTTTCCCGCAGGCGCTGTACATTCTGCTGACATGCTGGTATTCTCCACTTTACAGTCTTACACCAATGTTTCCTGTTGTAATGTTGTAGTCTCACACCATTTTTTCTTATTACAGAGTTTACGATCCAGTCCCTGTCCCCTGAGACAGTGGGAAGGTTCATTATCCATTATATAGTCCCATGCCAATGTCTCCTGTTACATAGTTTATTCTCAGTCTATAGTTTATTCTCACACCAATATTTCTTATTGCAGAGTTTACTATACAGTCCCTGTCCCCAGAGACAGTGGGAAGGTTCATCCTCCACATGGTCCAGCTCCAGCCTCTGTCTGCCTACAGAACACACGAGTCCTACAAGTTCTTCAACCTTACAGAGCTGGGGGAGGTCTCCTATACCTGCCCTGTACTGGTGTGTAACAATGTTACCAGTGGAAGTAGGGTTGGACTTAGTATTGTTTGGGTGCCTGAGTTGTGGGTTTGTTTGTCTGATTGTGCAGACAGAGTGCCAGATTGATAGCATGTGGGTGTGGGAAAGATTGACAGGCAGAATGAAAGGAGATCACAAGGTCAGACACAGGAAATGGGGTGAACTTGTAAGGTCTCAGAATCTGGCTGGTAACCAGCAGGAATTAGAGGTTGACATGGGGGAATTCAGGAAGCAGAGGATTGCAAATTTCTTGGAAGACCTATTTAGTAACTCACAGTAATGCTTTGACATGCAGAATTCTGATGAAGTTTTCCTGATGTTATGTATGATGTGTTGATCTATTTCCTACACTACAGGAGGGAGTTACAGTAGAAGTGTGCCTGGCCCGTTGGTGGGCAAGTCTGGGGGAAGTCAATGTGAACTACAGTGTCACCTTCCACGGACTACAGCCCAGTATTACTACTCTCAACCTGGTGAGTGGGGAGGGGGGTGGAATACAAACAAATTCTCTGAAACCAACACTCATAAAAAGGTTTTCTGTAAATGCCTACATTAGATGTAAAAGTATTAATCTCAATCATTTGTTGTTTTTTTGCTAAAGCATGCAGCAGATGGCATCACCAGGGTGGACGTGAAGTCACCGCTGAAGCATGAAGACGTCCAACCCAGTATCAAACTGGAGCACGGTGTGTGTCCACTCAGGTGAGAGATGAAAAAGGAAATTATCACCTTTAGAATTAATTAGAGAGAGCATTTGTTTTGTTTTAGATTGCCTTACTGATTTAATTGGCAGACAAAAACTCACTTTTTTTAATGTTGTTGCTCAATGCAAAGCCAGATGACCACTTCTAGGGACTGAGCTAGGTGATACAACAGATATATGACTATGCCTTAAGATAATGAGGAATGTTTATTTTGAAAGCTGAAAATTGCATTTGGAAGGAAAGCATGTGTTTTGTATGTATGTCAAAGGAATTAGTCTCTGGTTAGTCAATACTAACAGGATATACCGGTAAAGGTAAAGGGGTAATAAATCTATGCACCTGATTAACTGAGGGGACCTGGCAATGCTCTAACATTATGTTACAAACGTGTGTCCATTCAGGCCTTCTGAGTTTAAGATCCGTCCCCTGGGAGACAGAGATGTGCTGCCCCCCAACAGACCCTCGTACGAGCTGGTTCTCACCTATAACTACCATCAGGTTAGTGACATACTACATGTGCTAGTCCTGATCTTGTCAACACTACTATGTAACAGTAACTGTGAATCTATGTGCACAACAGTTCAACTTTGAAAGTTATTATTCTGGAGGGTAAAGTATTTTTTCAGTATTTACAAGAAAATCGAGGTGGGTTTGGATCAGGATTGTTAAAACTCAAACTAAGGAAAGGCCATGCTATACCTGCAAGATAGATAGAGATTTATGGATTGATGTAACAATTGTTTGTTTGTTTGTTTATTTGTTTGTTTGTTTCAGACTAAGACCTGTGAGGTGACGCCCCACTGCCCTACTCTATGTGACCTGCTGTATGAGTCAGACTAAACAGTTGTTTGTTGTTTGTTTGTTTGTTTATTTCAGACTAAGACCTGTGAGGTGACTCCCCACTGTCCGACCCTATGTGACCTGCTGTATGAGTCCGACTACGACTCCCAACTCTGGATGTTGTTTGACAGTAACAAACAGCTGATGGGGTCTGGGGATGCCTACCCACACCAGGTGATTATGTCTACCTTCACAGAAGGAATTAAGACATATTGGTTTGCCTAGTTTATTCTTCCATTCAAAACGTATAAGGTTAATGACCTGGACCAGATGTCTGTCACAATGGTAACTATAGTGTTATAGCAGACACCCTGTGGTGTTGGATTACATTATGTAGCAAAGGACGGGTCACCATATAATTATGCATGAATGTGTTTGAGTAAGAATAAACAGAGCAGTACTTTGTAAAGCTGGGCAAATGTTACCTTTCTAGTCAGATAGGTGTATACCATCAATAATAGTAAAAAGGAATTTATTTTCTCCCATTTTTAGTACAACTTCAAGCTAGAGAAGGGGGACTACACCATCAAGTTCCAGATCAGGCATGAGACAAAAGACCTTCTGGAGAAGCTGAAGGACCTGACGTTCCTGGTGCAATACAAACTGCCCAACGCTCTGTCGTTGGACGTCTATCCATCCAAGTCTAACGCACTGCTGGGCAAGGCCAAGTTCGGCACACAGCGGTGTGGGATAGGGGTGACGGCACCCATGTTTATTACATCTCTACCTGACGACAAGTAAGGACTACTACAAACTCTTACATACAACATGTTCTCAACTAATACTAGTAAAACAGAAATTCTATTAAGTAAAGACAGAAATTCTATGAAGTAAAAACAGATTTTCCATCAACTAAAACAGAATTTCTATTCACCAAAAACAATATTCTATTATAATAGTACTATACATGTATGTTCATAATTCAATATTTGCACTTTGCAGTTGATGTGTCCAATCTACCCGTATGTGCAGGATAGCCTGGTTACCAGACCTATTTAGTTCCCGAGTCTATATCCTCTCTGCAAATAGAGTTGGGAGCTAAAAGAGGTCTGGTAGCCAGGCTATCCAGCGTGGGATGTTTTTGTCTTTTGTGGATGGAATTCTTTGTAATGCCTGAAAGGCAGAACAGCAATCTTTGATATGTACAGCTACAGAATAACATTTGCCTCTTCCATATTACACTCCTTTTTTGTCTTTTGTGGATAAAGTTTTTGGTGACACCTCTTTGACATGCACAGAGCTACAGGATAACATTTGCCTCTTCCATATTACTATTACTATAGGGTCCCGAAGGCTGCTAGTCCAGGACACTACCTGGTAGGACAGATCTCATACGCCAAGGCTGAACCTGGCAAGAAAACTGTGAGTAAAGAATCCTTCTGAAAATATCAGAGAACAATTAAAGAAAATCTTTTTTTTCTTGGAGAAACAGGGGGTTATGGTGTACATTCCAGCTATGGAGTACTACAGTCAAAGTTAAGTTTAGATATTGTGTGTTAAAGGCATCCCATGCAATTTAAGACCAGTAAAAATGGATTTTCAAAGTCTCTGGTAATTTTTTTAATGTAGTAAGTTGTATAACTATCTCATAACACTGATATTTGTGAGGCAAAAATTGATGTTGCTGATGGAAAAAGTGACTTGTTTCACATTGTAGGCCTAGCTATTTATTGGTGGTACCAAAAAATACAGGGACCCCTCACACTTGTTTTCGGTCTATTTTAAACACTACAAGACAGTATAGACTAATGATAAAAATGTGCTAAGAAATGGCAGCAAATAACAATGTCAGACATTTCCTCATCCAGAATATTTTTTTCACCACCCTGAAATTGCATTGGATGCCTTTAACCTTTTTTTATTTCTTTTAGGACCAAAGTTTTAAATTCTGTGTTTCTTTCCAATGTAGGGGAAACACAAAAAGAAGACGGATATGGTATGGAAGTGTTTTTTTCTTTTGTTGTTCGGCTTGTTTGTGGTATGCCCGTTGTCTTCGCATGTGAGCTGTAGTGCTACTGTAAAATGCATTTATTTTCACGGTGGTTTTAATTTGCAGTATGAAGGAAAATGAGATTTTGGCAGTGTTTAAAGTTTAGAGTTGAAACATTCCAGGTGTCATGATTTATATTTATAGAGGACACGGCAAAAATCACAAAACTAAAACCACGATGAAACTAAATGCACTTTACAGTGTTGCCACAGACAGCTTTAAGCAGGTCAAAATGTTTTTTAGATATTTTTTTTAATCAATATGTTCATTGTTCATTCGTGGAGCAATTTTGTTTACTTTTTTTTAGCTACAGTAGCTCTAAAACTATTTTTTTCATCCACCAGCTTCATTGACTTTTCTAAAAAAAAAACAAGAACCAACAAATCACATAGATATGGCCTAATACCTGATTTTTCTTGCTGTGTGTTTTTAGGCCACCTACCCTGTGCACTATGTAATCTCAGCGCCTCCCAGCAAACCTAAGAACGGTGGGAAAGACAAGGACAAGAAGGATGAGAAGGATCCTCAGGAGGAGTTTAACGAGGCTCTCAGGGACTTTAAAATACAGTGGATGTCAAAGTAAGACTTAGGCTTTGATTTTAAGATGTACCAGCATTTACTAGACAGTTGAATGTGAAAAAGCTGAAAACATATCTAGACATTTGTGTGTCAACCTGACAATGCCTATGGCGATCACTCGAGAGCTTTATTTGCAATCAGGTACAGATTCATGTACGGATACACAGATACAGGTTTTCCGAGTATTTGTCAAGATTTGAGAGCGACAGAATTACTAGTAGCTTTGTGTCATCTGAAAATAACAATAACACATACATGTACATTTACATATCTTTTGAAGCATATCAAGCTAACTGATTGATAGAGGAACACATAGGATCACAATTATATAGGAGTTTAAATTAATACATACCAATACATTGTATAATACACACTAAAATTGAAGTCCTTTGTTCACAGTATACTGTAAAAGAAATTTTGTAGATGAAATAAGCATGCATCATGTATATTTCTTTGAATGTGGCCTATGCCCAAAATGTAAGGAATAAGCATATGAAGCAACTGGATGTAGCAATAGCTTTATTTCATAATTCATTGACAGCTATTCAATGAGATTGATTTTCTAATTTTTTAGGCTTGACAGCAAGGCCATCTATGAGGAGTTGAAGGAACTGCACCCAAACCACCTGCCCTTACATGTAGGCAGACTGCAGGCACTGGATAATGACAAGGTATATCATATAATATCATATATAATATATATAATATCATATCATTAAAGTTCATCTGTGTTGGTTGTTACATTGTGTAAAACTAAGTTAAAAGATCCAACACAAAGAAGTTCTCTCACCTAGAGCTTTCGACCTGTCACTCTGGTCTTCCTCAGTTGACTAAAAAGACTATAACTTAGTATAAAGTATATAATGTACTTACAGTACCATGTTTACATGCCACTGTTCTTCCTAATTTAACTGTTGATATTGGGACATCATTACTCAATACTTTTATACATGTAACAGACTGATAATGTACACTCCATAGGTTACTAATTAGCAATTCTATAAGATTATGTACTCTACAAACACGTGACTGTATACAATGTATATCCCAAACAAGATGTGAGACTTCCAGAAAGTATGGAATTGCAGAATTTCCCCAGTGCCAGGAATCGAAATAAGCTTTCTTGCCACTCTTTCTGTAACTCAGAACTTGTTGAAGATAATGACTGTGTCTGTCCAACCATCGGTCACCACCAGCGGCCCCTGTGTTGCTATGGCAACAGCCCACAGTTGCTGCTTCAGCATGTCTTTAACAACGACTTTGATGAATTTGCCTGTCTTGTCAAACATCTTCACGTAGCTGTCGTCTGTGGTTGCCACAAAGATGTTACCTGCCCTGTCTGTACAGACGCCACAGGGATTCTTCAGTTCACTTCCCTGCACATACTCGTATACAAAATGTCCATCAAATCCTGTTGCTAAGCGTGCAAGATCACCAAACTGGAACAGAAAATGTCCATACTCATTGTACACAAAGACATGGTGATTGTCCCTATCAGACACAAGAATTCTTCCCTCTCTGTTCACAGTTATGTAGCATGGGTCCTTCAGCCCCTGCTGCTGACCCACAGTTCTTACAAGTGTTCCATCTGGCCTGAACACCAAGACTTCACCTTGCAAGTTGTCCCCATCTCCTGTGATTTGTGTGATGAGGATGTGGTTCCTCCTGGTGTCCACAGCAACTCCTCTCACCCCTATCTTCTGCATTTGAATCTGTGCCACTGGAGTGCCATCTTTGTCGTACCTAACAGCATAGTCGGCAGAATCATTCCACCCCACCACCCACGGGTTCCCATATTCGTTCAGGGCCACATCATTTGGCATCATTATCTGATAACTTTTCAAGTATGTTGGGAACTGTCTCACAAATGTCCCCTGCAGGGTGAAGACTTGGATTCTCTTGTTCCCTCTGTCTGCCACAAAGATCTGTCCTTCTTCTGACACTGCAACACCAACTTGATCCCTGAACCGCCCTTCCCCTGAACCCCTTCCACCAAATGTCACTCTGTCTGGCAGTTGGATATTTTGCACTTGGTTACCTTGGTGATGACTTGTGTCCCCTGCTTTCACATGTCCCAATACTGGCACGGGGGTGTCTGTGGGCTGAAAGAGAGCAGGCTGGGTTTGTACAGGAGTTGGTGCTGTTTTTCCTCTGTACTTTCCTACCACCTCAGTTAAAGTAGTTTTCTGACCAACTACTAGTAACTCAACCCCTCCCTGCTCTAATTCTTGTTCTGCTTGATCACAGGCAGCGGACAGTTCATTGACATCTGCCGACACTCTGTCTCTTCCACTCTGTATTTTCTCTAAGTTTTTCTTGTGATCTTTTTCTGCTTCAGACAAGAGTTGGTCTCTTCTGTCTGCTAGTTTCTGCACCATTTGGTTGTAGGCTTGAATTATGCTGTCATCTGTTTGTTGTTTCTTCTTATTCAAGGTTTCTTCTGTCTCTCCTAGACCTCTGATGAAGCTATGATAGCCTTCTAAGATGTTCCTACCTTCACTGATCAAGGCCTGGACTGTGGAGCTCCTTTCCTGTGCAGCTTTCTTCATGGTTGTTGTACGATGATCATTATGAGCCTCCTCCAAACACAGTACACAAACTGGAGATTGGCACTGTTTACAGTAGAGCTTGACTACTTCACATGGGTGGAGGGTGCACTTGTCTGCTGACTGGGGTTGTTCCTTTGTTGACAGTGTTGCTTGCTGTTGGAATGTCTCACACATACTGGCAGCCATGCTGTTGTCTGGCAAACCTGCGACCCCCTGGCCAGGCAGTGTGATCTGCTGACGACATTTTGGGCACTCAAATGCCCCTTCTTTTCCTGCATGGACCTCTAGACAGTCCTGACAGAAGGTGTGCTGACAGGGCAGCAGCTTAGGCCTGGTGAACAGCTCCAGGCAGATGCTGCAGGACAGTTCTTCGCGGATTTGCTTGCCAAAGCTCCATGGTGCAGCCGCCATTTTGGTGCCCCACCTTAGGCTATGACATCAGCCTTAAAGTGACATATGAATAATTCAGTCTGACATCCTGTTGGCAAAACAGTCAGCTGACAAAGTTGGCAAGGCTCCAGGCACACTACAAGCCAAGGACATTCACTTACTATGGAGCATTCAGAGAAGCTTTGTTGAAACTTTAGAAATGTCTATTATAGCATCCCAAAGTAATGATTGGGATAACGAAGCCAAGCCAACAATGATCGGGATATATACATGTACTGTATTAGGTTTTGACTTCAGCTGAATTTTAGGCAAACAAAGCTACAGCATGTAACAGGGAAGGTGGTCACACTGTCATGCATATTCGTATATTGTGACCACCTGTTAAGTCTTTCTACAGACTCTAACTTTTGTTCACACAAACCAGGCTTGTATAATCAGGCTTCAAAAAAATCAGGCTTCAAGTTGGCAGTAGTGCAAATTTGGTACAACAGAAAACCAAGCAAACTTGTCAACAAACAACTACTAGTAACAATCTGACTTTTTGTTTTCATATAGCAAGAGTTGTCACCAGCAAAATTGCAAATGTCAATTTTTATTCTTCCCGTAGGAGAGATTGAAACAACTGGATGACATCATCACAGCTGCGGACGCTGTGATTGGTCAGGTGGACACGGCAGAACTAGCGAGTTTCCTCGCCCTGAAGGCAGACACACGCTCAGATGCTGCCACCATCAAAGTGTGAGTAAAGAAATTTAGCCATACTATAATTTACTACATGCTCAGGGAAGCAAAACTTTGCGGTCTGAGAAAAACGGTGTTAACAGTAACAGGTGCAGAAAAAAGAAAATGAGTTATTTGTTAATTTGTTAATTCCTCCACTTGTCTTTTGACAAGTTACAATCCATTCAATCTCTTTAAACAGGATTAAACATTTGGCTCTGCCAAGATGGGTTTTTTTTGGCTTCTATGATGTTTGAATTTTACCTGAAATTTTCTTGGATGATTCTTATGCATGTATATCTAGTAGGCCTCCGGTAGCCGGGTCTACATTGTACATGTACACATTGAAACAAACATGGCTCCCCATACATATATTAGGTACCCTCCATTATGCTAAGTCAACAAGTCAACAATGTCATTAATGAAGTTCATACTAGCCACCCACTTCTGTATTAGTTAGGTTAGCCTACCTACACTTTCATAGTATGAAAGTATGGTTATGTACTGGTAGATGCCATACTTTGTACCCTGTACAACTGTCGTACATGTACAATAAAGTTATGTTTTCATGTTATGTTAACTCCAGCTTGTCTTGTTCTCTTGAAGTGAGATGGAGAAGAAGAAGGCCGCCCTGATCGACGCCGTGTGCAGGAAGGGCAGCGCAGCGGCAGACAGGATTCTACAGGCACTGGAGGGGGACGCAGTGGGCAGCACGGAAATGGTGAAGGACCTCGCCCTTGTGAAAGAAACATTTGAGGAGCTGCTGAAATGGGCAGAACCAATGGACATGAAGGTAAGCACTTTTCTGCGAAAACAAGAAAGCAGAGATTTTAGACTTCCAGGAAGTGTTTTGGGGTTTTTTGTGACCTTGAAGTTCACAGACCTCTGGGAAGTGTTTGAGGTTTCCGTAAATGTATTGGTGAGTGAGTGAGTGAGTGAGTGAGTGAGAGTGAATGAGTGAGTGAGTGAGTGAGTGAGTGAGTGAGTGAGTGAGTGAGTGAGTGAGTGAGTGAGTGAGTGAGTGAGTGAGTGAGTGAGTGAGTGAGTGAGTGAGTGAGTGAGTATTGGAATTATGGAGGGATTTGTGATGGCTGGTACTTCGTGTCCGAAGATTCTAGGAAGGTTGTCCTCTGCTACAGGCCCTCTTGTGGAGGGATTTGTACGATATAATCAAACCGGGTATTGCACCACTTCCTGAATTCCTCCACATGCTGCCCACTTACAACTGTTGCTGTGTTGTCCATGTTGTCATTTTACCATGGTGTGTGGCCTGTACTAACTGTTGTTGTGTTAATCTTTAGGTGGTGAGTTTTACCATGGAACATGCCATGGTGTACATGGTTAATACTAACTGTTGTTGTGTTGTCCAGGTGGTCAGTACTAACTGTTGTTGTGTTGTTATTTAGGTGGTCAGTACTAACTGTTGTTGTGTTGTCCATGTGGTCAGTACTAACTGTTGTTGTGTTGTCCAGGTGGCCAGTACTAACTGTTGTTGTGTTATCCAGGTGGTCAGTGGTCAGTACTAACTGTTGTTGTGTTGTCCAGGTGGCCAGTACTAACTGTTGTTGTGTTATCCAGGTGGTCAGTGGTCAGTACTAACTGTTGTTGTGTTATCCAGGTGGTCAGTGGTCAGTACTAACTGTTGTTGTGTTGTCCAGGTGGTCAGTACTAACTGTTGTTGTGTTGTTATTTAGGTGGTCAGTACTAACTGTTGTTGTGTTGTCCAGGTGGTCAGTACTAAATGTTGTTGTGTTGTTATTTAGGGGGTCAGTACTAACTGTTGTTGTGTTGTCCAGGTGGTCAGTACTAAATGTTGTTGTGTTGTCCAGGTGGTCAGTACTAAATGTTGTTGTGTTGTCCAGGTGGTCAGTACTAAATGTTGTTGTGTTGTCCAGGTGGTCAGTACTAAATGTTGTTGTGTTGTCCAGGTGGTCAGTACTAAATGTTGTTGTGTTGTCCAGGTGGTCAGTACTAAATGTTGTTGTGTTGTCCAGGTGGTCAGTACTAAATGTTGTTGTGTTGTCCAGGTGGTGAGTTTTACCATGAAACATGCCATGGTGTACATGGTTAATACTAACTGTTGTTATGTTGTCCAGGTGGTCAGTACTAACTGTGTTATGGTTTACATTGTAGGTGGTGAGTTTTACCATGAAACATGCCATGGTGAGCAGTCAGTACGGCAGAGCCATCAGGGCAGCTCAGAAGATTCTGGACGACAAACCTAACAAGGAAAACGAGAGGAAATGTATAGAGGTACGTATTGTGGTAATGCTTCGGCGAAGGTTAGACATCCAGGTAATAAGATACACCAAACAGCAGTACTGTTACTCAAGCAACTGGATATGATTTGGGAGATTTTGACCGTTTCCAAAATCATATCCAGTTGCTTGAGTAACTGCTCTTTGGCGTATTGTGCCAAATGTGGTAATGGTTAATAATTTTCCAACAGAAAAATTTACATACTAAGAGCTATCTGAGTACTACATATATGTAGGAAAGCTCCTATGGGATTTCCTTATGCTTAAGTTCACAGGCTTTTCAAGTTGTAATAACTGCCTTCTCTGACCAAGGTCTGCCCACTAAATCTAGTCATAACTTTGTAGCCCTGTTCCAAAGCAGTTCACTGGGTAGACTATATATATATAGTAGTATTCATTCTTGTATACATGTATCTGTAAGCGATTCTTTTGTTGTAACCTGTACTTAACCCAGTGAGCATGTATGTACAATAAAGGTCTTCCTTCATTCATAAAGATTAAGTAACATAAATCTGTATTTCACAGCTGTACAGGAAGGTTGGCTGGGACCATGTAGCCAGACACAGCGAGCGCTGGCTGCCTGTCAGATACCCACAATCCTACACTCTCTTCTAGACCGGGACTGGCAAACTGTGTAACTTCCTTCATCTCCAAGCAGATCTATCAGTGGCTGCAAAGACAGTGTCAAATTGGTATCCATGGATACTGTCTGGCCAATGGATACTGCCTGGCCAAATTGATCCTTTCTTTACGGGCGCCGAAAGATCTGCTTTATAACTTCCTAACAGCCATCAACATTGAAGAGCACGACTACCGTAAAGCATGAAACCTTTGCAGTGGTTTTAGTTTCATGGTGACCTCTCCACTGTGAAATCGTACCACCACTATTATGCCTCCTGCATATGACTAATTGTTTAAACCATAAGTCTTAAAGTACCATGAAAATTCACTCTCTCCTACTGCAAGCAGAATAAAACCAGCTCAACAATTTACAGTAAGTTTTTCTACATGACAGTTATGCTACATACACATTATGTAACCTGTGTCTGGTCGAATGCATGGACAGCAGGGTTTTTATTTAGGACATTTTAAGCATTGAGAGTAGAAATTTCTAACAGTGTGGTTAATGTAACTTAAACAAGAATCAGAGATTTCAGACTTCCAAGAAGATTTTGAGGGTCCCTCATGCAATCCTCGTGCCATCTAATATTTTTTTCACATACCAGTAGCCAATTCACACCTCCAAATACTGCACTGATAATTTGACACTACAAGGGGTTTTAAGTATTTGCCAAGCACAAACTAGTTTGCTAGAGTTGTATCTGTACAAAATGTATTGTGGTGTACCAAAGTGCTCATGGTGTAAAGATGATGAGTGTTGTAGCTTTGTAAACCATTCATCGTGAAATGGCAAACAGTTACTGGATATTTTGATGCCAAAGTCATCTGACTTGTTGTGACGACTTAGCATGCCAAACATCACATAAAGTTTTTTTTTTTTTGATTTGAAGAAAGATTTTGCACCATAGTTTGTGTAGAATTCAAATTTACGTAGCCTATGTCCCGGTATATGGGTGTACAAATTGAGTGAAGTCTTATGATTAGACTTGTTGTAACTTAATGTACCAAATCATCAAAAACCCAAAGTGGTAAAATATTGTTTTTAAACGATTGCACAAATTTTGAAAGCAATAACTAATCTATTCTTTTCACAGTGATATGAAACAATGAAAAGTTGAAGCTTTTTAATGATTCTAAACAAAATATTTCTACTTACATTTCTACACTTTTTCTTTAACCCTTTTACAGCTAAGGTTCTTATGTGTATTTGAGAATGGATACTTTTAAAGTCATTCATGAAAACAAATTCTTCCTATTCTGACAAATGGAGCCTACAATGACATTCTATATCTGTGTTTAACATCAAGTGCCTCATATTTGGATATGTTTACCTACATGCAGCATGGTTGAGGAAAACATACACAAGTGGTGTATGTTTACTTTATTATTTGCGTGTAAATCTTTTGTTCATGGATGTAGCAAGCATTTGTGAATTCTTACACAATGATTTCTATAGTATGTTCCTAATTGATGAACCGGCAATGTTTTTGCAATATCTATGAAGGATAAAAAATTTACAAAACAAAACATAGACGTGATGTACGTGCGAAAGGTGTAGTGAATTTCTTCCCAGTATATGTTCTATTGCACAGCTTATGTCCTACCTCAGCTTGTGTGCCAGGGATAGGTTTCTGTGGGGGAAATTTTATGTTTTTACAGTTGTATTATGTTCTAGTATGTCAATTTCAGTTGTTTTGATGATACATTTGTACATAGGCCAGATTTGAACATTTCTTACCTGTGTACATGTAGTTGGTTTAAGTTTGTCACTGGAGCATACTCAAGCACATTACTTGTGTGGTTTGTGTTTTTAAGTTGCTGATAGAAATTGAGAAGGGATAAGGCAAAGATTTGAAGCTTTATGTAGTGTGGTAGCCAGCGTAGTACTGCCACTTTGTGGTACATTTTAGTTCAGAAGTTTAGGTTTCTGAAATTGTAGCAGAAAAAAGGGGAAAGGAAATGTGTACTTTTATTGTCACCCTGCATAAATAAAGTAAGTTTGTTCACAAGTTGCTCTGTCATTCTTGTATGTTTCTTAGAGTACTTGTATCTTTTTTCTATTGTAACTGTTTTAATGTATAAATCAGTACAAATATGCAGAAAAATACTATTCAAGCCCTGATTAACTTGATAAGAAAGTGCATCGTACCACGGTGATCATACAAACAGTAAAAAAAATGTCGCCCAACAGCTAAAGTCATCATTACTGGAAAGCTTAGCCTGGTTGTCAGCCTTTTTAGCTTTCGTCTGCTCCCCACGATTCGCTAGCGGCCAGTAGCAAATCGTGGGGAACGGACGAAAGTAAAAAGGCTGACAACCAGGCTAAGGAAAGCCCACATTTAGCATGGGGTTATCTTGGATACAGCAGACAAGAAAACGAGACAGAGAAAAAGATTCTCATGTTTAATTCAGGACACGTCATCTTCAGTGGGTACAGTGGGTATAAATACAAAATCCTGCAATGCACCATGGGACAGCAAACTGTAAAGCACTCTGGGTAGTTAAATCTGCTGACATTTTCAAATTAGAACGACACAGCAAACGAGAAAGTAAAAGCAAAAAAAAACTCAAATGTGTGTAAACCAAGGACACAAGTTGTAGGAATGACTTCCAAATAAGACCAACAAAAGGCTAGAACGTGTCTAAAAAAAATAAGATGCAAAGACATTTCAACAATTCTGAGTTATAAATGACATATCTTACGACAGAAGTGCAAGATATATCCGTGGTAATTTAAGTGAGTGAGGTCACAAATTCGGTTATATCTAGACCAATCAGGAGCCAGCAATTGTACAATCTGGAAGGACTGGCCAATCACAGCCAGCATTCTACAGCCTATCATGCATACGTTAGGCACAGCTGACCAATAGGAAGCCAGCATGTACCACATGCTCTCAGCCATAACATGTATACATGTGATGTAGATCACTAATATCAATTCCCTATGTAAAACCAGGGACATCTAGCCATATAATATCATGTACATTTTGAGTGTTAAGGTTTGTACATTTTATGCATTTTGCTCCATTTGGTTCTTTTAGGTTTCAAAGCAATTAATGTTACAACTTCATGTCGTGGTATAATGTTGTTATCAGTTTTGTTTTTGTTCTTGTACAGCTAGGTCTCGATACTTGCTAATGTCAGCTTAGTACATGTGAAACCAACAACCGAACTCTCTATTGAAAATAAGTCAAGCATATGAACACAGCATTGAGTACACGTAAGACATATTGTGTTTACATGGAATGAACTGAGTTGACTAAAGTTGACTACCTCACCGACACAAGTTGTGTTGTAATTAAGTAACTTTGCAATGTGGTTTGCCGTGACTGTATTTCTGAGCCAGAGTTTATAACAAACATTATGAATTGTTTTCTAATACAACCAGATTCTAATTCCAGCAAGCTTCCTCTAGCATTTTAGCTCAGAACATTACAGCACAGTACGAGGAAAAATAAATGCTTTTTGTACAAGTCATCAAGTGCTTTCATATGGTAGTATTGGAAGTGATTGTGACAATTGGTAGCGTTCTCAGCAAGCTCTAAGAGTCAGGCTTTTTGGAGGCTTAGAATTTTTTCTGTTCTCGTATCAGTACTGCTTATTACATTTTTCGTGTACCTTTTCTATAGATGGACATTCCATTAGGAAAAAAACACATTAAAAGCTCCCCAAAAAGGCTTACTCTCAGAGCCTGCCAAGGAGGCTACACAATTGGTATTTTTAATACAAATACAAAGTTTTATGTAGTTCTAGGAGAACCACATAAAACTTCCTTTTACTAAATTGTGCTAACAGTGTAATTATACTGTTAATCATCACCAAAAACAAGGACTATACCACGTGAAAGGCAGGGGTGGGCAGGTACAGACATGGTGCTAAATTCCACACAATACAAACCACTAATACCAAACAACAATCACTGCTTGTCCCTAACTACTTAACCTTCTTCCTACTAAGCCAGCCTTCAGACACCATGTTTATGCTAGTCACAAGGCCTCTTAGCAAGAAAAGGGTTAACTTTTAGCCGTACCACCTTTTGTATGCTTACAATTGATACCCAATCAAACAATTATGGACAGAAAGTTTCAATCTTTTTTTTTCTTTTTACAAGTCCACATTGGAAACTACAATTAATACTAATCTACATTACCCCCAAATTACACAATGGCACAACCCACTATTCTGTCCAAAGTTGTTTGATTCTGGATCAGTACACTAATTATCAGGGGTGGTCAGGCTAGTAGGGTGGGAAAAACAATGAGCACGACAACACAGATAAATTAATTACAAAATTAGGATTAGTGCCTACTTTTAAGCTCGCTCATTTACAACAGTTCTCTTTGGAAAGATTGGGTTTCAAACAGGTCTGTAATTCAACAAGGAAATCCACTAATTAAATCCAGTCGTAATGATTCTATCCACTTTTCTATTGGCTACAAAAAAATAACCTCTCTCTCTTCAATCTGTGATGCTTTGTCTTAAAAACAGGTCAGTCAACTGTTTATTCTTAGTAACTTTCTTTTTCCGCTATTTATTGTTCTGACATGAAACCAGCCCAGTTGAAACGTAGTGACTACTTGACAACTTTGTACACCCCCCCCCCCATGTCTGCCAGAATGGTTCTGTCCGATATCCCCTACAGTACAGTACATTACACCAGACCAGTGGCATATTTTTTCTACAGGCTTCATACATAAAGTCTCACCCCCTTCATAATGCATTAACTACAATCTGTACAGGTTCATTTTGATTTAATCAAAAACTTCAACTTTGCTTGTTCAGTATTCTTTATCTAGATTTTTAACATTGATACACAGAAATCCACACAAAAATTCACCTTCAGTGCTTTATAATTTTTTTATCTTGAATAGCCTTCCCCAATGGCGCACCCAATAACATTTTATACTGGCTCCCAAAGGCAAAGTAATGCTCTACGCATTTTACAGTAAAATACCACCAAACACTGTAACAGACCGATCCAATAGCTGCCGCTCTCTCATTGGTCGAACAACTAATTGCCGTGCTGCCATTGGTTGAAGTGATAATTATGACGGACAGTAAGGATCGGTCTACTGTGTGAGGATGTGTGTGGATTTCTGCTCGCCCTTTCCGGCATCTTAAATCCAAACCAACATGAATAGTGTTCAGTCTGTCTTCAGATCACACTGCATTTTTCATACAACACAGTACAAATCTTACCGTCTAAAATATCTACGTATTACAATCTACAAAAAATGCTTGTAGAGTTACCCGTCCACTCTCCGGTGGCGCGTGCCGTTGCCCTTGGCAACAACAACAATCACAATGTCATGACAAGGCCCGTGGAAAAATCAGTGGGGTCGTTACCATGGTAGCGACCTAAGTAGCCTTGTCCGATGACAAACAAGAAAAAACACGCTGTCGTTGCTACGTCTCAATAGCAACCAAAAATTACCCCCTAAACTGTCCCATTTCAATGAAAAAGTCCCTTCCACGTTTACCCCTCAACCTGAGTGACAAAAAGTGACGATGACAAACAAATCACCATAGCAACCAAACTTTGGTTTCCATGGCAACCGTTGCAAATCACCATGGCAACCAAAACTCCGTTTCCATGGCAACAGTGTGCTGTTACCATGGTAACGGATCAGTTGTCGTCTTCGTAGTCGTCGTCATCGTCGTCCGTGTATGGCGTCTCTCCTCTGGACGACCCGATGCTGGACTGGCGCGACACCGCCCGACCTCCCGCCGTCGCCATGGCAACTTCCTGGTCAACGTTTACCGACCCGGGCAACCTGGGAAGGACAAACAACAACACTTATTATCATCAAGTCTGGGGAAAAAAAAGGAACCATTCCTCTTCTCATTTTCTTCAATAAAAATTTCCTTCTGAAAATGCAGGAGATGATGTTTCAAAGGGTTTGAAATTCAGATATAAGATTGGATATTTTATGGCCTTGCCAACAGTTTTGGCTAGGGTTGGTCAATTTTTTCCTAAGACTGAGCAGAAAATGCCTTTTCTTTTGCATATATAATGCTATTGTGAGCAATAGCCACTGAATGTGTTCATAATGAATTGTGTTGACTTTTCTATCTCGTATTATGTCTGTACTTTTTGTGTGTCAGCTGAAACCAGTTTAGTTCTGCCTGTGCTGACCTTTGTAATGATCAGTTTCATTGCCAATAATTACAAACAAGAACAGACGCCCACCTGGATAGAGCAGACGACGCAGCCGCTGGGAGGGGCTTGACGGTGGTCGCCATGGTAGCAGTTGCCGTGGTGAACTGTGTGGTGGACACGCCCGCCTTGATGCCGCTGGGGCCAGCGATGATGGAGGTACTGGTGCTGGCTCCTCTCGCCATTTCTGGGGAGGAGGGAAAATCAGCAAGACTTAGAGAGATGAAATCTTTTCTCTTCATTAAATATCAGGGCTCAAAATACTGGGTCCATATGCACCTTTAATTAGTTAGTGCAGGTAAAATTGGGGCTGTGCAGGTATTTCTGACCAGAAAAAAGGATTTAAAGCTCCGGATTTAATTTCTCAGGATACGATGTACTAGATGAAACAGTACATGAAACAGTATCTATATCATCCAGTGATATGGACACAAGTGCACTGAAAACAAGAAATCAAGGATTTCAGACTTGTTTGGGATTTCTGTGGTTGTCTTGGAACTGAAGAGGGGATTGTACTTCTGAGTCATCTTTAGCCTTGATGTCCATATCAATCGAAACCAACTCCAAACCTCCCTGCTACTTGGGCTTGAAACACACAAGTTAGCCTCCCAAAACAATATGTCCATACTTGCAACTTACTAGAAAATTCCTTAATTATGAGTCTTACCTTCAACATAAGGCTCCAGTGCCCTGGGCACCAGGGTCTTGGCGATTTTGAGGTTCTCCGGGGCGCACTTTCCTGACTCCAGTCCGTACGCCATGCCCATCCGCTTCAACACCTCGATGTCATCATGGATCTCAAACGTGTTGTCAAAATTAAACAGATACTCGTACCTGGAGGAAGAAATGTCTGTTAGTGTCTGCTTTTTTCATACACAGCAAATAAATAGTAGGAACTTCGAGCATGTCTTGTCATACAAGATAGCAGGCTTGGTTGTTATTTTGTAACAGATTGGAATTTCCAGTGAAAAGAAACAAGATTCATGTCCCATGATGTCTGGCATATATTTGCAATCCTCTACTCCCTGAATTCTACCATTTTGACCTCTAATTCTCAAATTTTGAGACCTTCAAGTTCACCCCATTTCCTGTGTCTGACCTTTTGAATTGTCATTCTGATTCTTTCAAACTTCCCCCACCCATGTGCTGTCAACCTACTACATGTCAGACCAGAGTGTAACAGACACACCAACCCACTAACAAACCCACCCAAAACAATACTCCACCAAACGTTGTGTAGAATCTTTGTAGATACACAATCTAATAATCCACAGTCACAGCACAAAGTCTAACATTGCTGTACTGTTTGCGTCCTTACTTGTCGTTTGAGATGCTACAGTCGATGACAGTTTTCTTGCTGGTGTTGACTATGATGAAGGGCAGCTGGATGGCAGAGTTCTGGTTGGGCGGCCCCGTGCCGGCCTGCTCCATGCGTTTGTTGCGCTGCACCAGGTTCTTGAAGGCGATTTGCTGTAGTATCAGCTCTTGTAGCTGCTGCTGCTTCTGTTTGATCCTGTCTATCCGCCGCTGCTTTTCAAGCTGTGGATTTAACACAACAGTTTGTCAGAAAATTTTAACCAATTCCTCGAATTTTCACATAGAAAAAGGTTCAATGTTTGGCAAGTGCAAACCAGCTCTTTTTAACTCACTAGGACTCTCCCACCCAGGAATTATGTCAGACAGAGAGACAAACTCACAACTCAGCCACCTAAAACAATACTTCTGTACCCAGACATAACCCAGATATAACAGCATCTAGAAAATGTGAATTGAAGATAGTTAGGAAAGCATAGTCAGTGTTCTGACCAGAATTTTTCATAGCGTAGTGAGAACCCTGTATCTGTATCTGTATAGCCAGTAGACCGCCCTTTGGCATAACAAACCAGCTTTGCTGGTACACAGTGTGGCGGCAGCTGGCTACATTACACCGATCGACTTGTTACACCTAACCCTTGAACATCTAACTCTGACAAAGCATGAGACTAACCTCTAGGTTCTGACACTCCTGTGCAGAGTTTGTGGGCAGGCCGATCCACTTGATCTCCTTCTTCTCCTTGGAGATGATGTTCATGGCCATCAGCACGTTCAGCGCATCGTACACACGTCTCCGGATGTTCTTCTGGTCGTATGCCTGGGGGGAAATATAATAATATAAGTCAAAAAAGTCAACATCTGTGAGCAAATGTAAGATGTTTCTTAGCCAGTGTTACCCTTAGTGTTACGCAAAATGGTGGTTATACCGGCTATACAGATACAGAAAAAAATGGCACAAGGAACTTTTGAAAGCAAATGCAAGATCTTTCACTCCCATCTCTCTTAATGCAAAAAATTCCTATAGAGAAATATACACGTTGTTGACAATACAATAGAGGCAAGACTTGCAAGTAAATGCAAGCTATTTCACTCCCATTTTTCATCGATTGTAAGAATGGACAATAATTGTGATGCACAATTTTGTTCGTCTCCTATATACTATTGCACTGCTTGCATATATGTTCCCTGGGCCATTCTGAAAAACACTCACTGATACTGCGACCCTTGTAAAAGAACACAGAAACAAATAAACAAATGACCACTCACGTTGCCTATCTGATCGGAGGGTGAGAGGTGCCTCTGGGGGTCGCTGAACTCTGCCACCAGTTCGTCTGCCACCTCGTTATACGACGTGGTGCCTTTCCTCTGCACCTTCTCACAAACCTTCATGGAGAAATGTCGCAGACCCTTCCCACCCTTCTCTCCCTTCTTCCTTTTGCTGGGAAACACAGGAAAAGATGTTAAACTAACAAAACAACACTAGGCCAGAGGCTGCGAGATCCAGGTTCAATCTCTGGTTAGATATTTTGGCACTTAACACCCTACGGCCTCAAAAAGGCTAAGTGACTACCTTTATCTTTACCTTACAACACAACATAATATAACATAGACACAGCACATGCAATCTGATGCAATCTTCAGCTCCTTAGGATCTAAGAAAACTTTTTGAATACTGCTTCAAAAATGTAGGTGGAATATACAAGAATCTATTGACATATTCAGGAGCTTACCTTTCTGAGAAGTCTGCTTCTATGAAGTCATGAGTTCTCTTTCTCACTGGTGCCCTGGAACAAGGTCAAGCCAAGGTCAGAATGAGAAGTCAAGAAAGTATACAATCCTTTGCCTCCAGAATTCTAACATATCAGGCACAAGGAATAACACAAACATCTTTGTACACGAGAAATGAAACGTTTTATAGCATGTGTTTCTATCGACACATACACAGCTTTAATGGCATTTTGTACCACTTTTCAGATGAGAAGCTATTTGAGATTTATACAGTACACATGTCATGTAGTATAATCCTCAGCCCTTACCCGACTAGTTGTATGTTCGGGTCAGTGACGACTGTGGTGTAGGTTGTCTGCTGTGGTCTGGCCGGACTCTGCTGGACCTGGACCAGCTGGGCTACCGGCGTCGGCCGCGCGGGGCTCTGCTGAAGGATCTGAAAAATTTTTTGCTGTTTTAAAGGGGATAAAGGGTTAAAACTAGCGTCTAGAACAGTTCACATCAAGCAGACAGGAGCAGTCATGGACAATCACAGCATAGAAGCATCATCATACATTTATCAGATTTCGAAATTACCTTTTCAAGCTATAATTTTTGGCTGTTTTAAAGGGGTAAAGGCTTAAAACTAGCATCTAGAACAGGTCACATCAAGCAGTGAGGAGTATTCATGGAGAATCACAGTATAGTAGCATGGCATCATACATTAATGAGTAGGAATACTTGAAGCAATAAAACTTATCCGATTTCAAAATTACTTTTTCAAACTATACTCATGCACAATGAAAATTTGTGATGGGAGATGAATAGATTGTCAGTATTCAGTATTAGTGTATTGGATCGTCAGTTCAAAACTTTGTACATATAAAGGATCAAAAACAAGTGATGGTAAGTTTGCAGAAGCAGAGATTGCCTTACCTGTGGTTGGACTGTTCATTTATTAGTTTGTTTTATTCACAGTTGCTTGTCTGTTTATTTATTTATGATTGCATGCTTTAGGTTTGCAGAAGCAGACACATTCTTACCTGTGGTTGGACTGTTTGTTGCGGTGTCCGGTTTACAGCAACCATTCGGAGCTGGAAAATACAGCCACAAAACAAATGTCAACATCGACATATACCTACATATCTAAATATATCTATAGTTTTTGCAAAATGTTATATATACTGGACTGTCATCTTGTAGTCTTGGATGTTCTATAACAAAGAAACTATTGAATATCCAAGACTACATATTGTAAGCAGGTGCACTAACACTAGACCTAGAGTGTATTTGCCCTTGTTATGGTTAATCCACTAAAATAAAAGAAACTCACCATAGGCGAGGCGGGTGTGTTTGCAGGCCCGAGGGTCTTGGGTAAGATGATGGTTTCTGAGATCTTCATGGGTGAAGATTTCATGGGCGATACGGCCGTGATCATGGGGATAGTTGTCGTGTTGGACAGCGTCACGTTCGCAACTGTGAAAACACGAGTCGTTTCAGTCAGTGATTCATTTTTAGCAAAAGATTCAAGGAAGATACTGTACCTTGTTCTAGTAGAGGATTCAAGGAAGATGTACTTTTCTTAAAAATTGAGACTAAGAGTTGGAGGCCATAGCTTTGTTTTCATTCATTCAGGTAACAATTACTTTGGGTTTCCATGGCCTTTCCAGTGTCCTTCTGCCTATCAATCTTCCCGATCCAAGTGCTGTTGACTTATGCTCAAAGTTAACCCCATTTCCTATGCCTAACCTTTTGACTTATCATTCTGCCTGTGAATCTTCCCCCATGTGCTGTAACCTACTGTCTGGACAAGCACACACACAAACCCAACCAAAGCAATACTTCAGTATCCAGAGGTAATTTGCTAATCCCATGTTGAAACCCCAGCCTACCTTTAGTGGGTGAAGTGTTTTGGTCCTGATGAGACCTGACGAAGCCGGCCAGTTCACCATTGGTGTCAATCAGCCCAACCTGCACAAACAACACACAAAAAAGCTTTAGTATTAGTTGGTAAAGCTATTGTCAGAGACATTTTTAGAGGAAATTGAAGAAATAACACATCACCAGATAGAAACACTTGAAAAAGTTGCCTCAAAAATGCTGCCATGTATGAATTTGGGAAATTAAAGAATCCAAACTCACATCATCATACCATTTTGAACAATAGCCCCTAAATACAGGTCTCATTCATTGTAGACAGAAACAGCCATCGATCTCGGACAAAATTTTCTGCCACAACCCAACAAAGTCTCAACTTAATCACAGCACTATATAAATGGCCCATCCCCTGTGGTGTCACCAAAAACTACTGTGGCTCAAAACTCTGTACAGATACATATAAATGTACAAAGACCAAATGTATCCAGTACAACACAGGCCCTTGTAACTGAACACACAGGCCATGGACAGCATACACATGTTTTGGCTCTAAAAGTTGAGGACAGCTCACAAATCACTGCATGTGTAGACAAAATAACCTTTATAAGGGTTAGCATACTACAGTACCAACCCCCAAGGTTAACTTCCCTATTAGCAAGTGTTACACAATTTTCCCTCTACGGACTACACTATATAATTGCTCAAAACAAAATAGACATGAAAAACAGGCTTTTGTACCCTGAAATTAATTCTATGTTGATAATTTTAATGAAGTCCCCATACTTACACGTACCATGGCAACTGGCTACCCCTTTAAACTGGTTTTAACTCATTAACATGGAACGTACCATTCATTTTTTACTGTAAAAATTGCCACTTCTATTGTTACTGTGAAGCCTGCATTTTCAGAGATCTGTATCACTTTTTAATAACTATTTCCAACTCAAGTTGAAGCTTTTTGTCACTGTCACTAAAACGTTAGCATGGTACTAAAAGAGTTAACGTTTTTGTATGAGGTTTTTCAGGGAATGGTATGACCTGGGTGTAACGGTCGCGCCACTGCGGAGTGAAACTCGACACGGCGTGTATGGGAGGCGTATCGGCGTTACCTGGCCGGGCTTTGTCAGCGCACAAACGAACCTGATCAGGGGGTATCCCATAAACCAGGCTTAGGCTACTCAGCAAACATTCATTAAAGGTAGCAGGGACGGAAGGAAGGGGAGGCATGATACAAGACACTAGGCAGGGCTCTGACCCCGAGCAATGAAGGAAGGGTGCTCCCCTCTCCCCAAAATCCTTGAACCCCTCCCAAAATGTTTAAATTTAGAGTTTTCTCTTGTGTTTTCATGGATTCGCTGATTTTTCTTCAACCGATTAGGAAGCACCTATCCCCTAAGAATTTCTAGAGAGACCCCTGCTAGGACTCTACTGTATATCTGGGAATATTCAAACTGATTTTATGTTTGCAGATTTCACAGTTAAACCTCCTTTCACTGACAAATGTTCTACCTTGTGTTACATTACTATGGTTGTTCCAAAGGTATATTCAAAATGCAGCAAATAGATTCTTTTCAACTCTATCTTGAAATCAAATCCGTGCAAACTTAAACCGATTTACAGTAATTTTGGAGGGGATAGGAGAGGGGTTATGGTTACTGGTAAATCCTAGCAGCTCACAGAGATATCTTGTTAGTTTTCACTCACACGTGGGAGGGGGGTTATAAGGGGCATTTTGTTTACATTTTACTTGCTTTACTGATATTTAATCTACCCCCGAGTTTATTTCCTTAAACTTTCAACATACAAAATGAAATGTTATCATACTAAACTTGAATGAAAAAAATTCTTAAACACTGAAGTGATTCTAATTTCTGTTCACAAAAACAATCTTTACGTAAGTATCCAAAAGCTTTCACTTTAAAACCACTTTTTAATTGCCAGTTTTCTTCTATGTACCTCTCTACCTATTCACAGTGCTACAAAAGGTTGAAACAGTGCTAGAATTTTCCCACCTTCCACATAACCTTTCTCTGCATTTAATTTTCATGTTCCGATGGGAAAGGTCATTACCCAGGGTTCACCTGGAGGGCAACGGCCCCATGGGATAGGTGGGGGGGTGTGAAACCAACCAACCAGCAAAAACCTACTGTTTGACATTGTTATACATCAAACTGTACAACAGAGATATTATATCCAATACAAATAGTATAAAATACACATATACTTATCAAGGTATGCAGATGAAACATCAGAAGGAAAACAAAACAATGCAGCTATGAAAACGAACCCATAACCACACATATTGTACATGCAAAAGCTACTATAAACTTTGAATGCAAACCAAGTTAGGTAGTGTCTGTTTTAAATTTTCACAGGATAATCAAATTTACAGGAAATGAACTATCTTAAATCTTTGTAAGGCATAAATGCTGGAGTGTTTTCTTTTCATAGGTAACAAATGTGTTCTGTTCACTGCAGCAATTTAAATGGTTTAAATCCCAACATCCAGACTTGCCACGTGCCATTTATCAACTACAGTCTTGCGTATTTTCAGCTGCTACAATACTACCGTAAATTTCGCCATTAGACACTTTTTTCGTTGCCAAGAACTTTTTGGCTACAAATTACGCAAGTACAACAACAACATAAACTTACCACAACACCACAACTTCAAGTTCAACAGTCAAGGACAGAAACTCAGACCATTACTTCAGCTGCCTTTACATAATACAGGCAGCTGGGAGAATTACACATGTGGGGAGGGGGGGCAGACTGGTCAGTGGCCCTGTCTCGAGTCCACACAAAGGCGAGAGCTTACATATTGATGGAGCCAGTCTGGGACCACTGTGTGTGGAAAGAATGGTCGCTTGCCGCTTTGTGCACTCCGCTATTTGTATTTCTAAAGGATGACGGCCATTCTGTTATGATCCTTCCCTGTTGAGGGCTCAAAATTCATCATTGGGAATAGGAGCACTGGTGTATGTAGTCAAAAGGTTTAGGTGCACAGGAAAAATGCTGGTGCAAAACATAGGATAAAGTAGAATGTAATTACAAAGCTACATATCTTTTGATCAATTGGATCTGAAATTCTATTGCTAACTTCAAACTTTCAAACAAGGCTTTTATTCTTTTTTTGATACGCTTTTCAAGAATATTCTGTAATATTGTGTAAATTACTAGTTATACCTGGACTGTGACAACATTTGATACCTGTGTCCTGGCCCATGTGATAAACTTCTAGGTATCACTGCAAAATAAAACTACCACAAAAGCTTCTGTATTTACCGTAACAGAGGCAAAAGCCGGCAATACTGCATAGCTACCTTTGTAGCCAGGCCTCCTCTATTGTTCTGTTGACCCTTGATGAAAGACTACCTCCGCCGAATAGAGGGAACAAAAGAGAGCAGAAGAGAGGGCAGAGGGTAGCTGGGAAGTGGAGCCATGCGTAACAGCCAGGCCAGGGAGTTCAAGGACATCCCAACTGCCACATGGGGAGTTTAAAATTTTCTCTTGTCCCTTTTAATTCAAAACTCCCAGGTATTTTCAACACCGATTTTGAGTCATACTAGTCAGCTGCTAGCCCAAGCAATGAAATCAACAATCCCAAAACACCCATGTTTCCATGAAAAATAAAATCTATGAGAGCATTTAAAGTTAATTACTGATGCTTAATTACTGTATAATAATTTCAAAATCATTGGCAAGTCCTGCTTAGAACCAAATAAGCAGCCAAGAAAATACAAGACTAACCAGGAATAGTATGCAAGACTTGCTATAATTTTTATACAGGATAATTACTTCAAGACTAGTGTCAAGAATTTGACTGCAAGTTTTCTCAATGTAGCAATCACGTTGCCATGGCAATAATGACGTTATGGGTTTTAAATTTACTGCCCAAGCTGGCTCCCTCCCTACACAAACAACCAACCTTACACTTACAGGTCACTCAATGTCCACTTCTACACAGGGCCAAAGTCCGTCAACGGCTCCGGACTGATGGCAACTTCCTGGGTTGGTTAATTTTTCAGAGCCTGATAAATTTTTGTTTATCCATCCACAAAAGTTAGCCTCCACCAGGCCTTTCTACGGGGTTATGGATCACAGAATTCGGCAAAAACAGGGAAATAGTTGCCCGGCAGGGTCAGTCCACGGGCAACTGAACTTTTTGGTGACTAAACTGGCTAAACTTTACTGTTTTCAGACCAGAGTTGTTAGTCTGGTAGAGACGACACAAAAGGGCTGTTTTTTTCTTGTCTCCTGAGTTGATGGATCTGTGACAGGTGACCTCTGACCTCCCGGAACATCTCAGGTCACCAGAGGTCACGGCATGGCCCCATTATCTGCATGTCTCACAGAAAGGCAAATCTGGACGATTTCAGGTGAAATTCTTAACAAAACTGCCAGTAAAATAACCAAAAATTCTCTATCTTTATTCTCTTTTGCAATCTCAGTCACCTAAGTATGTGCCCCTCTCAGTTGAAGGTTAATTTTACCCCTATAAATGCATGTACAGGTCTGTTTGAAGAAATACACAACAAAGGCATGTCTGGGCACATACTTCCAAATGCCTGAAGCCACTAGTAGTATGCACACCGAGGGGGTACTTGGTACATATGACGTCACTCTATACCGTAAACTTTGATATTTGTGTTGTGTTTTTCACAGTTAGTGGTTTTCCTTGAGACTAGTAACCACGAAGCCATAAAATTAGGAAAATATAAACCGGACAGTGAGTGAGTAAGTGAAGAATGTAACCATCTTTAAAGTGTTGGTCCTTGGAAGTTTCCAAACAAAACTGTACCTTCCTTGACCAGTCAATTTTGGCAAAGAAAAATGGACTACCTGCTTTAGAGCAAAGCATTGTCTATTCAATTTCAAGACCAGTTGTTCACAAGTAATCCTCTGCATAATTACAATACATGATTACATCCACATGTTGTCCTATTGTGACACAAATTCTGCTCAAGAAAACAACAACAACATGATCAACAAGGATTTGTTTGCTTCTAATCCTTCTCTTCATCTGTTGGATTGATGTGAAAATAACGACCTGATAGAATTTGCATGAAAATACGGTGTACAAGGCTAATGAA